TAATAAATGTTTTCTAGCTCCATTGTTGGATTTAATTGCATTGCTTTAAAATATTGCTGAATAAAAGTGAATACAGTCAGCATAATAGCCCTTATTTATTTATTTATTTAATTATTTATTTATTCGTCAATCAATCAAATCGTAGACTACATATTAACATTAGGACTTATGTTCTATGACTTCGCAGGGTTCTGAAATATATTTTTAATTCTGTTGAGGGCATATTTAGGTCAATCATTTCACAATGATGATTATAAACAGTCATCATCTGATTTATCGGTCAAAATTTATCGTAGTTGGTCCGATGGCGATCTACTGCGAACAACTGTCGATTGCGTAATTGTCGGGAAGGTGCATACAAATTTAACCTTGACAATAGATCAGCTGAGTCAATGCGTTGCGAAATGATATTGTTTAATAAAGAAATCTTTGCGTAATCCCGACGTTCTTTCAATGTTTGAATGCTGATCATCAAGCAACGTGCTTCATATGACGGGAGAGGAAAAGCCGTCCAACCTAACTTACGTAGTGCATATAATAAAAATTGCTTTTGAATTGACTCTATTCGTTCTTCATGCTTTGTCATATAGGGTGACCAAACAACGCAATATTCTTAAATTGACCTCACATAAGCAATTTAATTGTATAAGGATCTTTTAAGTGGAGACCTAAACGTTTTATAAAATTAAGCATATTGCCTGCTCTATGTATTATTGTGCTATAATGGTCCACAAATGTCAATTTAGAATCTAGAATAACACCTAAATCTCTTACATTTTCACATGCTTTAACATTTTCATTACCTAATGTAATACAAAGATTTTGTTTGTTTAGTTCTCTACTGTACGTTATAAGATTACATTTTTTAATATTTACTTTCAATAAACTTTTACTACACCATCTGTAAAAAACATGTATTCCATTCTGAAACACATTCATATCGTTATCGCTTCCTATTTCTAAAAATAGCTTCATGTCATCAGCGTATATAAGTACCCTGATATTTTTTTTTAAATAAGAGAGACGTCATTAATGTACAAAATAAAAAGAAGGGGACCTAGGTGCGAGCCGTGGGGAACCCCTGACGTGACATGAATTGGCTTAGATGTTTTCTCGTTGAATCTTACAATTTGCTGGCGATCAACTAAATACGATTTAATCCAGGTGAGGAGCTCCATCTCAATTCCCATTTTTTCTAATTTAAAAATCAGCTTTGGGATATCAATTCTGTCAAACGCTTTGCTGAAGTCTGTATATAGAGTTCTACTTGGTTACCTCTGTCCATTGCATTTAATACGAAGTCCACAAATTTTAAAAGGTTTGTGGTGGTTGAACGGCCTTTAAAAAAGCAGTGTTGTGCACTAGTTATTCTTTGTTTTATTTGGCCAAAACTGTTTATATTTATAATTGATTCGATGAGTTTCGGAATGTCCGAAATGATAGCAATCCCACGATAATTTGGAATATCGGATTTTTTACCAGATTTATATATAGGTATTAAGTAAGATTTTTTCCATTCCTTCGGGAATATACCGGATTCAAGCGACATATTAAACAGCCATAATAGGTGGCATTCCATCTGGTCCTGAACCTTTAGTGGCGTCCAAATCTCGTAGGCCATTCCAAATATCATGAACCAAAATGTTTAAAACGCCAACAGTAGTTGAAAAGTCAGGAAAATAAGAAAAATATTCATAATCACGATCATTATCTGAAAATTTCGTGTATGTTTCTTGAAAAAAAAGTGGTGAAAAGATTACATATATCATCAGAATTATTACCTTCCTTTTCATCCAATGTCATTTTTGATGGAAAGCTGCACGATTTCATTTTAGTTTTGACGTAATTGAAGAAGTTTCTTGGACATGATTTAATTTCATTCTCAGTTTTTATGTTATACTCAGACAGTGTCAAAGAAATTGCATCGTTAAGTTGATCACAAATACTTAAATACTTTTCGAGATTATCAAGATTATGAGATCAAAAAAATATTTTTTTATCTGATTCTGATAGAGACTTAACGTCTGGAATAAAGTTGTAGCAAATGTTATTTTAAGCAACTTTGCTGAACACTCAAAATTTCTAGCTCTTATAAATTGCGAGATATGTATAATTTTTCGTGAAATGCCCCTTTAAATCATGTTTTTTAGTATAACTGATTTTCTAGGCATCCTACAATGTTGGTTTCTTGTACAACTATATTTTGCATGTTTAAACACATGCTTTTAGGCGATATTTTTGATCGACAAATCGCCTTTGCTGAATTTTTCTCAATTACCCGTCAGCACGTCCTCACCAACTGGCAACAAAAATGGAATGAGAGTGATTTGGGAAGATGGTTACATTCTATTCTCCCACAGGTATCGAACAAGCCATGGTTCAAAGGATTGGACATGAGCCGTGACTTTATACGTGTCATATCAAGGCTCATGTCCAATCACTACTCGTTAGACTCGCATTTCTTCCGAATCGGGCTCGCAGGCAGCAATTTGTGCGCTTGTGGTAGTGGCTATCACGATATCGACCACGTGCTTTGGTCATGCACCCTCCATTGTGTTGCTAGATCCGAGTTATCCGCATCCCTCAGGGCCCGAGGAAAACAACCCATGCATCTTGAGCATCTTGGCGAGCCGAGATCTCGACTATTGCAATTTAATTTATGTGTTTTTAAAACGGATAGATCTGAGGATTTAGTAGTTAGTGTCATCTTGTGTTCCCCCAAGTTGTTAGCTGCCCATCGGTGTACCCCCATGTTTGTCTTTTTCATCAGTTGGTCGCTTAGTTCGAGATCAAGAGCACATTGCTCTTGTGTTCTCAATCCCTACCCTGCCATCCATTTGTTACAATTTGTTACCCCTAACCTCGAGATAGCCGCGAGTAATCGGCCCCCGCTTTACTAACGTTAGTTTTAAGAAATTTTGTAACCTAAACAATGAATATCGGCTCCGCAAAGCTACGGCAAATAAGCCTGGAAAAATAAACGCATTAAAAAAAACACATGCTTTTGCTGAACATTGTAACCAACTGAACTGGAAACAAAAAAAAATATTCTTAAATAATCGATATGTTTAGGGGTATTTGCTCCTCAAATAACTATTTCCGTAAACTCCTTCAAATAATTGTTTTGAGTGTAACTTTTTTCGTAGATTTTCAATATATTTAACATATTCTACAAAGTTGTTTGCCGTACAAAAATACATATTTTTGCTGAACATTGTAACATGCTGTCTCTTAAAATTAAAATATGTATTCAAAAATTAGACAAGTTTTTTTAGTTATTACAAAACACCTAAAAGATCGCGTGCTGCCACACGTTTTTATAACTTTTCGGCAGTAAAATAAGTAAAAATTCAGAATCCTTCCTAGAATGTTGTGCCAAGTTGCGGCGGAAATAGTTATTTGAGGAGCAAATACCCCTAAAAATATCGATTATTTAAGAATAACTTTTTTGTTCAAGGGCTAATTAGTTACAATGTTCAGCAAAAACATGCAAAACATAGTTGTAGAAGAAACCAAAATTGTAGGATGCCTAGAAAATCAATTATGCTATAAAACAGCAAAAAAAATTTATCTTCCATTTAATTCCACTTAATTAATTATACATGACAGATAAGTATTTCGACTATAATGTGCGGCAGTCTTCATCAGTGTCATTCCCACTAAAGAACTAAAGGAGAAAAATCTATTCAACTCTCTAATAAGGAAGTAATGAAATTGGGTTGTTAGCGGAATGCTAAATAAAACAGCAAAAAAGGTTATCTTCCATTTAATTCCACTTAATTAATTTTGGTATCCATGACAGATACGTATTTCGACTACAATGTGCAGTCTTCATCAGTGTCATTCCCACTAAAGAACTTATAAAAATCTAACCCCCTTAAGTACTCATCCCCTAGGTAAAAAAGTCAAGATCATAGGTATAAAAATGAAACTACAATGTGTTGAATCGGAACCTACCTAACTAATAAAAACCAAAGATTTAAGTAAGCTAAAGGAGAAAAATCTATACAACTCTCTAATAAGGAAAATCCCCAAAGGCTTGGTAGCCATCATAATGAAGTAATGAAATTGGGTAGTTAGCGGAATGCTTAAATAAAACAGCAAAAAAAGGTTATCTTCCATTTAATTCCACTTAATTAATTATACGATCTCACTTTTAATCCACCTAAACCAAACCGTCTACATCAAAAGAAGCGGATTAACATATGCAAAAACATCTTTGAACAAACTATACCCCTAAAATCAATGTTTGAGAAGCTATTAAAAAAGCGCACGAAAACGGCAAAAAGCAACACTGTGCCATGGTGAAAATAGGTAATTTTTTGTCAATTTGGATACCTGCGGTAATCAGCCTGTTTACTGTAGTTAATATAATAAAAACAAAATGCGGGTCCACCTATAAGAATCTACAAAATAAAAAAAAATAAACTTTCAAATTTACGTTCTAATATCACGAATAGCTTATTTGGTTGTAGAGTAATCTCTTTTCAAAGTTGAACTTTTTAAAAATCTCGAAAATCCAGGGATGTAGCCCAAAAGGATCTAGGCACTTTAGAGCAAAATTAAAAAAGACGTTGGTCAAAATTCCAAAATAAGCGTTTTGGCCAAGTTTGGCTCAAATCGGTGACATCGACTACAACTTTTTTTAAATTCTGTACCCACTTGAGCTGGAATGACTCGTATATGATTTGCAGAGAAAATTTTCCGAATGAGTGCTCATTACAAGACAGCCTGCATAACGTAATATCAACTATAGTCTGAACGTAGGATTACGTGATATTTTGCGCAAACAATTACATACAAACCGACGACAAAAACGCATATGAGACTGTTTTATAAATGAACGCCACTGTGCATCTCTGTTTTGTTGCTACAATTCAAATGAAGGTGTCGCTGTGATACAAGTGTTATACTGATGTTATACCTGGGTATGTATACCAGTGAATTAGACACTGCTCAATTAGAGATGTGAATAGTGACGATGTTGTCATTGATATACTGATATAGTATTTAACTGTTCAACTATAGCTTTTACGAAAATAAAACACGATCAAATTGTATACGGGCAACAATAAATCAAAGCAATGAAGGTAAATGCATAGACCATCACAATCTTTTTTTAAGATGAACTATTAATTGCTTTTAGATACCGCATCCCAAAAATGGAATCATCTACTGCCATACCGGAAGCCACAAAAGTTCTGCTGTTTTGTTTGAAAATAGTTTTATATTGACATCCGGTCTTACCTTGCTACAGGTGCCCTCTATTGCAAGAGATTTCGAAAATTTTCCAAAACACAATGTTATCGACGTGTGCTCTAATCCAAGTGTGAGTTTTCTACGCCAAATCGATTACAGGCTGGTTATACAGGGAGAAAACGGTAGATTATTTGAAAAGAAAGCACATATTGCATATATATTAAACTCCACGGATATAGAGTCGACAATTAAACAAAATTTTAAAAGATTGAAGTTTATGGTCGATGGAGAATACAAGGACGTCACGGAGTACTGCAAATATTTTTCCACTTTTGTGATATTGCAATATGAAGGCCAGAATATACTATCATTGGATGATATTAAAAAATACTTTAAATCTATGATCAAGAGCGTCTTTCTCAACATGAATCTAATGGAAGAAATCGTCTGTGTATCTACTCCATTCGGAAATGAACACTTTATAAATAGCATCAACTTTGGCCATGTCGCCAACCTTCTGGGAAAGGACAACTGTTTGGCATTATTGAATGTTACTTCTGCATTCGGTTGCGAAGGTGGAGGAGTCTACGATAAATTTATGTAAATTGATATTAAAGTATGTAGAATATAAAATCGAATATGGTTAACATTTTAATTACTTTTAGGAACTTACGAAGCATTCTACTGGGCTCTTGTTTTGCTCATCAAGACGATAATGTGTGCTTCCCGTTAGCAGCTAATATAAGCGAAATAATTAAGATCTTATTTGGCGAAACATCACTGCAGAATACCCCAACCAAATTAACAACACTAATGGCCAGATCAACGTGTATGATTGACGCAATGGGATGTTGGGGAACGGGTTGTATGTTCCATCTCAATGGACGTAATTTTGTGCTGACCTGTGCACATGTACTGAGTAGCGTATGTGTCAAGACTACCATTGATATATATTTTTTTATTAACTCTATTCTATTTTTAGGAAAACATAACATGCTACTGCAATGACGCCAGTTTTCAACCGGGTGTTGTGTATAAAAATCCAATATTCGATAGTGCTTACGATATAGCTTTGCTGGAAGATACTGAGCGTAAAACAAGACAAAACAACCTAGCAGAACTAACAAATTACATTCCGATAGTAGGACAGACGGTATACTCAGTTGGGTTTCCTATATTCAAGAATTTCGCCACTGATGGTGCATTTAAGCCGAGTGTCTACCGAGGTAAAGTTACAAACTATTCAAAAGGGGTGCTCATCACGGATTGTCCTGTGCAAACAGGACAGAGTGGAGGTCCCATTTATGACGAAAAAGGCAATCTACTGGCTGTGATGGTTTCCAATTTTAAAAGTACGATAGATGACAGAATTTATCCGCATCACAACATGTGCATTCCTATCTGTGATATTTATGACATTCTCCATCAATACAGTCAAACTAACGGTAGGTTGGAACAAATAAGTAAACGAAAAAATGTTAAACTACCTTTCTTTTCTTCAGACTTTAATACACTGAATAAGCTACAAGCGGAGAGATTGATCGTAAACAAATGGAAACTCAAAAGGCCTATGGTGGAGAGCAAACTGTAGAAAAGAATGTTCCCTTTGTAATTCATGTAACTTTGGGTGATAGAAGATTTTTAAATTATAGGAATAAGTGGTTTCGCAGGTAGATTAAAAAATACCAACCAAAATTTTAAAAAAATGGCATACCAAAATATGTTATCAACATGATTTAAAAACATTATTTGATATCATTTTGATAGTATCTAGAAATCCGACTTTTCTGAAATTGTTATCTCAGGAATCAACAGATTTATGTTATAAAAAGGCATAGTCATTTTACAAGAAAGCACTGTTTTTTATTACTCGGATTCATACCATAGCCATCATCTATACTAATAAAAATTCAATGATTATTTTTATGTGTCCCATACATGAATTTTTGCAATGTGGTAAACAAATGATACCTATAGTATGTGTCGGACACATAGTTCTTATGTGTTATCACATATACTATTCATTTGACTCATAAATCTAATGTGTACTTTTGAGTGGAATCTGTTTATGTATGGACACATGAAAATCATGGAATTCAACATGGAAATTCACCCATAAAAATCTCGGCTTTCGACAAAAGCAGGCCCCTCTCGATGTGTGTCACGCGATCGTCTGTTTACTCGGCAGCAACCATTTTGTGATCCTCCTCATTGTTCTTCATCAGCAGTTCTTTCGATCGATGTGTCATCGACTTTGGAAAGCAACCGTTTCGTGATGAGTGTGTGAGTGCTGACCACGTTTGGCGTCCATTTCTGCAATGGAAGCGCTCTGCACCCCGTTGGCGATACTGCCATACAATGAAACCACTGGAAGCGGTTTTTTGGATAGCAGAAGATAAAGTGTTTAGTTTGACTACAGTTTTAAGATGTATTGTATAGTGAACAAGAATTCTCGTCTCAAAGTTAATTCGATTCAGCCTTATCGAATAAATTAATAAACAAACAAATAACAAAATCGCAATTAATAGGTGGTTGGCTCAATGGGTTCTTATGCGCACATACCCACTGTGGTCTGCACGCAGGAAAAACTATCGTCGAAACAACAATATTTGAGGTATATTTAAATGTAAATCTGTTTGTTCTGGCCACAAAAATAAATTAGGTTGATTTCAAACGCATTCCATGGTTGAAATCAATGTTTAGAATATAAATAATGCTACGTTTATTTTAAAAACATTCGTGTTGAAAATAAACGCAATTTTTTTTGAGCTTCTCATGTTTAAAATAAATATGTATATTTTGAATTTTTTTTTTGTAGTTGAGGGCAGAGTAAAGCAAAATAAAATGGATTGCAAAGAAATGAAAAAAAAAAGATCTTCGGGAAGGGCGTCTAAATTTCTGCTCTTTTCCGGGTGCGTTAAGGGTGGCCTGTGGGTATTGGGGTCCTGGTACGGGGATCCATCGGGGTGGGATTCCGGGAGTTTAAGTTCAGTGGAACCGGTGATATTAGCGTCATAATGTCGTTTCTGCCACTGGTCCTCATACCGGTATCTTTCTACGTTCGGTGTCGGTGGAGGATCCGGAATGGATTCATATTCTTGTGATATTTTTTTTTTATTTTTTAGAGAATTCAGAGAAGCGTTCCAAGAGAATTTCTGAAATAATTCCATAAGAGTTTCGGGAGAATACGAGCGAATGATGAGGAGAACTCCAAGCAAATTTGCATGAGAAATCTCCGTTGAATATGCAATCGACTATTCTGAGGTCTTCAGAACAACTTGAAAGTTCCCAAAATATTCCTGAAGTTAATGAAACCGCCTTGAAGTTCTTTTGTAGTTTGAAAAACTAGCCTGATGCTCGCAATACCTCTCATCATTGTTTTTAACTTCTCTCAACTTTCTCGGACTTCCTAAAGTTTCCACAATTTTCCTAAGGTTCATGAATCTTTTTTTTTTTTAGTTTTTTAGCGAGATCAATATCTTTCTTGAAGTTCTCGAAACTTCTCTAAAATGTTTGCACGAACTTTTTAAAAATGTTGAAGCTTCCGTGAACTTCTGGACTTATGAGAAAACCTAAATAATGTTCTTAACATCTCTAAAGTTCTCTGAAAATTTGTTGCTCTCGGCATCGAAAACACGACTCTAGCCAACATATATGCACCGTCGGGCACAGCCATGCGCGCCGAACGAGAGAGTTTTTTCAATAATACCATTGCTTACTATCTGCGGCACAGTACAGAAAATATACTCCTCGTCGGCGACTTCAACTGTGTACTGCGACCATGTGACTCGTCGGGCTACAATAACAGCCCCGCTCTCCAATCCACCATACAGCAGCTTCAACTAAGCGACGTCTGGGTGAAGCTGTATCCCACGACCCCCTCGCCAACATATATAACACACAACTCTGTCTCTCGGCTCGATCGCATGTACGTCAGCATTGGACTCTGCACAAAACTGCGAAATGCAGCCACACATGTGTGTTCGTTCACGAATCATAAAGCGCTTACTGCTCGAATATGCCTCCCGAGCCTTGGCCGCGAACCTGGTCGCGGTTATTGGTCATTGTGTCCTCACCTTCTGAATGCAGAAAACGTCAACGAGTTCCAGATTACATGGCAATATGTAACCCGACAGAGACGGAACTTTCCAAATTGGATCACGTGGTGGCTGTCATACGCTAAGCCGAAAATCCAGTCCTGCTTCCGATGGAAATCTCGCGAGGCATACGGCGAGTTTAATACAGAACACCAACGACTGTACGCGCAGCTTCAGCAAGCGTATGATGGTTATTTCCAGAATCCAGCGATGATAGCTACGATTAACTGCGTGAAAGCACAGATGCTCGCACACCAGCGCAGCTTCTCGCAGAACTTCATGCGCATCAACGATACCTTCATTGCAGGTGAAAACATTAGCACGTTTCAGCTAGGAGCACGGCACCCTTTCCCAAGACGGTTTTATGACAGGTGGGCAGGAACTCACAGTCTCCCAGTGTTGGTGAGTTCTTTGCCGTTAATGTTCACGAAAAGTTCACTATTTTGCTATACAGAAATTCTAAACAAAAATGTTTATCTGCGGATTTGAACAGTTTTTGACCTGTTTCATACTACCGGAAGGTGTATGCTGGTCACAAATGCCGTGCCAAACTGATTTCCTACTCAATTAATCAATCTTTGATGTGAAATTCGCTAATAAACACGAGGCGCATTTCTTATAACAAACATGCCATAACAAAATGGGCAAGGTTCATTTAAGTAAGCAAACTAACACTTCTTCCGACTGTGGCACCTATGTATTAGCCGTCTCGCTGCCCACCTGTCATTTTCTATGCTCACCTTAATTTCTCTAAATTGATCAAATGTTCCGGTAAATTTTATGATATATATTTATAATTCCTTGAATCTTCTAAAATTTTCAGATCAATCATAGAATTCTTGGAATATCCCATAATTCCAAGGATCTCCCTGTAAGTCCCTTCAAATTTCTATAAGTTAATGGGATTTTTGTGATATTCACCCCTATTCTGTATTTCGTTTCGAACGAAATTCTCATACAAAAAAATATTTTTTTGTATGAGAATTTCGTTCGAAACGAAATACAGAATAGGGGTGGTTATCTGACCGTACACAAAGTACTAGGAGCTTCACTAAATATAACGAAACAATTTAAAAATATCTAAATTTCTTAGAAGTCCTCTGGAATTTCTTGAAAATATCGGTGCTTGCTAAAAGTTCTCGCATTTTTTTAATTTATGGAACTTCGTTGATGTTTTCTAATCAACTTAGCTAAATTTTCGAAATATTTTACATCTTGAAATTTCTATGATATAACACCCTTGAAATACTCTCACATTTTCCGGATGCTCAAATAATTTTTATTGCGTTCCAGAAATTTTCCCTGAGCAAACCGAAGTTTCTGGAAACTCCCGGAAATTTTCTTGAAACTTCTTTAAAGTTTCTGCAATTTCCTTGACATTTGTTTAACTGCCCTTTAATTCTATGATATGTCTTGATGTTTTTTTTTTCCTTGATTTGTTTTCCGTCGATCTAATTTTCCGTGCTGAGCACCAATGCTACCGACGCCAGGGAGGCAGCTCCCACACCTGGACCCTACCTATCGACCCATCATCAACTCATGAACCGGAGACCAACGACTTTACTTCCCTTCCGAAGGAAGGCGTGATCAGAGATGTCATGCCTCCGAACATCCCGGCGGCGCCGTCTGGGATTGAACCCAGGCCTGCTGCTTTAAAATAAATGGAATTCCTATGAACACATTTAAACTTTTCTTGAATTCTCTAGATTTCTGTGAAGTTCCTGAAATATTTCTGAAGTTTTCATAAATTTTCTGAAGGTCTCGGAACATCTGAAGGGATCTCGATTTTATTTCAGCACATAATGGAACTATCCTAAATTTGTCTAAACTAACGCGTATAGATTTTTAAACCAATCCAATAGTCTGGGCTAAAATTTCGGGGACTTCCGCTTAAGATCTCTGGAACTCCCTAAAGATCTCTAGATCTAGTTTTTTTGAGACAAATAGAACTTCTTAAAAGTTTCCACAATTTTGCTAGTACGAAACTGCAAGACATTAATTTTTTTTTATTCTTTATTAAAGAGATTTTTAGCCTTAGGCTAGTTCATCTCTAGCACAAGACATTAAAAGTGTTGTGATCTTAGACTTACTAAAATGAAGTCAAGCTGATGAACTGATTGTCATGTTTTAAAAACGTTTGCGTTAATTGTTGTTGTTTTTGTTGTTATTGTACAGAAAAATCATATATTTTAAACGCATTTCATAAATAGTTTTCTTATTATAAACTTGGAAATTATCTGCCAAAGTTATGGAAAAAAACCTGGAAAACTCAGGGAACTTTATTTAGCCAAATGAGTCGTCAACCTTAAATTGTTCAAAAATAAGAACAAAATCGAAGACAACATATCAAGAAGACTGGCAACTTTTCCATATTCTCGTACGGCCGCCATGAGGCAGGTACAATTGCGTCATCTGCCGCTCAAAAGTAAATGCTTCGAACGAATTTGATAGCAAAGATTACATCCTCAGAAGAAAGGTTTGTGTATTAGCTCATTTTTCTCTGCGTTGCTTCCACCTTCACTCGAGTGCAGCTCTACCATAGAGGTAACTCTAAGACTAGAAGGTCCCGAAGAAACGTGTTCAACTTTTTGGCTCAGCTCTGGTACTCTTTTCGGTCCCAAGCTAATCGATGCACCCTTCAAAACATAGGAAAATCCATGAACCCCTCATTTTATCTGTCAAACTTTCATAGAAAATCAAAACAAACATAGTGTAGTAATAGAATTTCAACTAGAATGGGGTAAATTAATCGATTTGCTTGGGACCAATAGGCTAGTCAAGTAGTGAGCCAATTTCAAATCGATAGTTTCGTATTGATTGTGGGCTCTACTGTATCTGTCGCTTGGATTCTGTCAAAGTTGCCAGTCTTCTTGATATTATGTCTTCGACAAAATGTAGGCCTATCCTAAACACTGCAAAAAGAATGATCAATTTTGAGATAAGTTCACATTAAAAAAGTGACTTTAGTTACTTGGCCTTAAAAAAGGAGACTTTTTAGTGACTTGTTTGAAAAAAGTGACCAAGTCACTAAAAAGTGACTCACTACCAGCCCTGCGATTCGTACTTTCCTCAAAGTTGTCCTTGTTCGCTTTCTACTCTCTATATACAATTTTCACACTGCCGTACTCTAACGGAGCTATCAACTCTATACTTTCATCTCCTCATCTATAGTATAAAATGACCACTTTAAGTCGATTCTATAACATTCCCCAGAAAACTATTCCCCAGAAAACCATACCCCAAAATTCCATTCCCCAGAATGCAACATTCCCCAGAATGTACCATTCCCCAGAATGTACCATTCCCCAGAAAAGATGATGAAATTAGTAATTTATCACTTTTTCTTTGGTCATTTGATATTATATATCAGTTTTATATTACAGAACTACCGATTACAAACTTATAACATAATTCCATACGTTATTATCGCAAATAGTCATTACCCCAAATCCCTTGCGAAAAGCTATTGACTATATATTTTCCTTATATATTAAAAGAAGGGAATATTCCATTCTTTATCGTATATCCAAAGAATTAATGATTTCCTTTTCTTAAATTTTCAAAGAAAAGAATATTTCCTTCTTTATCATATATTTAACGAATTAATGATGTTCTGTTTTATATTTTCAAAGAAAGGAATATTCCCTTCTTTGTTGTATATCCAAAGAATTAATTATTTCTTTTTGTTACATTTTCGAAGAAGGGAATATTCCCTTCTTTATCATGTATTTAACGAATTAATCATGTGCTATTTTATATATTCAAAGAAGGGAATATTCCCTTCTTTATCGTATATCCAAAGAATTTGATCCATTAAGGTCTCCTAAAACCCCTTGACCCATTAAGAAGTTTTTCTCTTCTTTTTATATACGCGATTCCAGGAGTGACTATAATAAACAAAAAATAGTCAATCTAATACATGGCATACTTTTCTGGGGAATGTTTTTCTGGGGAATGGTGCATTTTGGGGAATGAGATTATGGGGAATGGTTTTCTGTGGAATGTTATAGAATCCTTTAAGTCTGTTATTTGAAACTTGGCATCTTCAACTATATAACATTCCGTCTAAACAGGTATAGAAGAAAGTTTGTGGAAATTTACCCTCGAACTTACCCGATAAAAATCCCTTCAGGATTTCGAGAAAAGATGAGGAGGGGGGTCATGTATGTTCAGTTTCCCCTATACGTCGTCTATGCTGTGGTACAATTGATGAATAATTTTCGCTTAAACGTGACAGGTGGTAAATTTTCAAATAACCCTGCAAAGTCACATTCAAAATGTTTTTATGTTACTTCATACGCGAAGTTAACGATTTTCAGAGTTGGTTGGAAATGCTAACATGAAGCTTTAGTGTGATGATTTATTAGCTAGAGAATGATCTTTAGAAGAGGGTAGGTGGATAGTTCCGTTAGAGTACGGCAGTATGAAAATTGAATAGAAGTTGAAAATGAGCGAAGGGCCATCAACTTCTATTCAATTTTCATACTGCCGTACTCTAACGGAACTATCCACCTACCCTCTTCTAAAGATCATTCTCTAGCTAATAAATCATCACACTAAAGCTTCATGTTAGCATTTCCAACCAACTCTGAAAATCGTTAACTTCGCGTATGAAGTAACATAAAAAACACTTTGAATGTAACAACTCAAGGCGGGAGTAGCCGTCAACAATGCTGATGATGGTACAGCACGCAACAATCACCCTACTGCTTTCTCTCTGAGATGATCACGTTGGTCATGACGAGAGGAACAACACAATAGTTGGGTAAAGAAGAACTGCATTATAACACACCATCGACTAGAAATGCTCTCGCAACGTGGGGCTTTAGGTAGTGATGAAAACGTCGCTAGAACTATTCCACAGCCGCAGTCAGTTTATGAGCAAAAAGAGGGACGCACATTTTTGCCTGTGGACTTGGATACATACTTCAAGTCCCCGCGTACATCGTACGGGTTAGGCAAAAATGTGCGTCTATCTTGAAAAACTGACGCATTAATGGCCCTTCGCTCATTTTCAACTTCTATTCAATTTTCATACTGCCGTACTCTAACGGAACTATCCACCTACCCTCTTCTAAAGATCATTCTCTAGCTAATAAATCATCACACTAAAGCTTCATGTTAGCATTTCCAACCAACCCTGCAAAGTCAGTTTTCAACCAACTGAATAAAAATTTTAGAAGACTTATCAAGTGAAAATTATTTGGCGTCTGATTAGCAGCTTGAAAAGCATGCTATGGCTGTCAGTTGCGTTGAATTATTTTTTCCTGAAACGGCAATATTATTCTAATTTCATTATAACAAACTTAAGATTAGTTTTCTGTATTAAACAAGTTCTGAAAATCTTAAAATATTGATAACAATTAAACTGTCAATTTAAATATGACTGTAGCGTAAAACATTTCTTGCACAATTCCAGCAACAACGTAATCAGAACCACAAAGCTCCCATTACAAAAACAACTTAGTGAAGTACCCCTCTGTAGTAAGTAGAATCCGGACACGCTAACTCTAAAGTTACCCATTAATGAGTAAAATTTTTACTCATTTTGAAAAAAAAGTGGCTTAACTCATGAAATGATTTTTTTTATTTGCTTCATTGGGCTGGGCTGACTGTCATCAAATATTAGGAATTTAAACGTTTGTAAAAGCTTAAAACACTTCATAGTCTTTGTTAAACATACTCAAATAGCAAATCATAAACACTAGAATTAACCAATGTACTGGAATATGCAAGTGTTGCAGCAATAAGTTGTAGACATTGTTGTATTTTTTGTAGGGTAAAGAAGTTGCCTCTATTCGTTGACCAATCGGTGCATAAAGAAATCCTTTCGTTGAAAGAGCGTTCTCAACATATCCTGGAATTGGTCCGCAAACGATGGCAATCATCGGCATCAGATTTGTATTCCTGCACAAATAACTATCTTTTTATTTTCCACAGATATCCGCTGAAACGCGACGGTAGGTTTTTTAGGATACATGCCTAAACTTCATCATAATTCAATTTTTTAATTCTTACCTCATAACATCGGTTCTGGACAGCACCCAGGAATGCCGTGTTGATCTTCCCTAGCACTTAACTTTCCGGTTTGACTGTAATGGAAATTATTAAACTAGCCCGATCAATTTGCAGGACATTGTACATGCTAAATCCGTGAACTCCCAAAACACTGTGTCCTTTTTACCCATTTTTATTGCAAGAGGCAATTTCAAAAATGATTTAAAATTACCCGCTTTTCATTTTTCGAAAATTCCCATTTTTTGAAATTTGGGAATAATATCATAAAATGAGTAAAATATACTGATTTAATCGGTACTTTCCAGTTAACGTGTTTAGAATTCAGACGAAGAATGATTCAAAACAACTGTGCTCGTGATTGTGACTGCATTGGTATTGTGTGCGATTTCAATTTTTGTCAAAAGAAAAATATCTTTATCTCATTTGGTAGAAACTTGTTAAACGACTGAAGATAACGTTCGCAATTATGGTTTACTATATGGGTCGTAGTGTAGTTGAAAGATTCCTTGAAGGTGCGATTGAATTACTGGGAAACAAAATCATCGATTACTCATTGTTCTAATGGACTTTCCTTGAACAGTAGTTGCGAAATATATGTAAATGTTGAAGTAAACCTCCATCAAAACATTGCAGTAATCCCTGCGGCACTACTCATTGCCAACCAATTAGAGTCAATAAGCGTTGTACTCCATTTGATACGATTTAGGTGGGCGCATTATGGTTTAGTAGCAGCAGATTAGTAAGCAGATAGTCGCCTAGCATTGCTACAGAGGAGGTTTCCAGGATATTTCCAACAATTCATCTACAAAGCAGTTGACGATAGCGCGCTCGAGTTGCTCAAGCGATTTCTTTCCTTTTATGGGTTGTCGCATTTCATCCTCAAGCAATGATAATTTTTCCTCATCGAACAACGAGATGCCGAACAGGACGACCGACCAGCAGACCACGGTCGATTACAAGCCTCGCTTAGAGCGAAAACAGTGCCTGGTGGGTTTTACTCCTTTGTGGCACAATGTGTCACACTTTTATCGATTTTTGTTTGACACACTTTTGGTTCTCTTGTGTTGTAAATTTTACGTGCAGGCAAAAGAGACACCGGAACCAATCTATGATCTGGAGGATTGCAATCTAAAAGATGTGCCATCGGGAGTATTTATTATGTGCAAGGTGCTTCGAAAGGAGCTACTCTCGTTGTCTAACAACAAATTGACCTCACTGAACGGCGGGGGAGCACTGGTGGATCTGCAATTGTTGATGACGCTGAACCTGTCCAACAATCGATTCAAGAAACTGCCGGACGAGATCTACAGGTTGGAAAATCTCAGGGTGAGTGATTTGTAGAATTACAATTAATGAAGTTTTGAGTGTAGAAAATCACTGAAATTTGGACATCTTTCAACAGGAATTATTTCTATCGAACAACAGTTTGGAGAAGCTCCCGGTAACAATCAACCGACTGAAGAAACTGGAGCTGCTTGATGTATCCGTGAACAATCTAACCACGTTGGAGCAGTTATCGTTCATGCCCCTACTTAGAATACTGAACATTTGCGGCAATGTTCGCCTAGACAAACTGCCAAATCAACTGGCAACATGTGATAATCTAGTAGATATAGTACTCGACCCAAGCACCATCTCCGATCCACCGGCAGACGTAGTGGCCGGAGGCACCTATGCAATCATAAAATATTTATCAACCGGTGAAATAATTCATCAGTCACCACCGGAGGATTTTACAGACCCATACACTCGCAGTAAGACCAGCACAATCAATTTCATCACCAACGAGCGAGATGAGATGCGTCAAGCGGAATTAACGCGGGAGAAACAAGAGAAGGAAAAGAAGTTGCTGGAACATGAACGATTGGCCTATGAGAAGGATTACCTTGCCGAAAGTAAATTGCACGAACAACAGCAAAGGAAGAAGCAGGATCTACTTCAGCAGTTGCTTCAGCAGCAAAATCAAAACGATACTAACGTTAACAGACTACAAGAGGAGAAACAATCCGAACGACAACGGTTGATAAACGATATTTTGAAAGGTTATAAATTTAGAAGATTCTGGTATGTTCAAACTTACAATTATTTTCCATTTTATAGATGAGAAACACTCTAGCGAGCTGGTCGATAATCTTCTATCGCTGAAAAACGGTCCAGATCCTGCATTCCTCGAGCGTGAGCGCGAAGAACAAGAACGGCTACTCGAGCAGCTCCGTAATCAGCAAAATGACCTTCGCAAGCAGGATGTTCTTACAGCTATGACCGACTTGCTCGAGAACGAAATCAACGTTATTCAAAATTTCCACAATCAACGTGATCAATCGTCCCGGAACATCCTGGAACGGGAATACGAGACCAACAACCTTCTCAATAATGTGTTTTTGAACTATGATCGCAACCGGCAGGAGGTTATCGACCAAATCAACTGTGATGAAGAAATTCAAAAATCGGCCGTGTCGGCACTAATCGTCAGAAATGATTCCCGCACGTGGGGTCTCGTAGAACAGGTGCGCATCGTTGAGTCTCAACTGGCCACCTTAACCACCTACGAAATTGAACGGAAGAAAACTAACCAGGATGACCAAATTGTAAAGATTTTGAACAAACTTATTATCAAGCGCATAAGGCTAACATATTTTATTTTGTAGAATAATCTTACGGAACAAAGGATGAACTTGACGTACGTTTTGATGGATTTGCTCAAACAACAGGACCAAAGAAAACAACAGGTAACTGCTATGGGGATAGAAAATTTGGTCAGCTATACGCATTTATCAAAACACTTTTCAGCTTCTTGACACGCTCAAAATTATCGAACAACAGAAAGAAGGCGAGCAAACCGACTTCTGGCTAATGCAATACCAAAAACTGCTGGACCACCGACCAGCGGAGATAACCAGCGATACTGCTTCGGTGGATCCCATCCTGGGCTATCAGTTCTTGGAAAACGGCGTCGTTCATTGCTTACCATTCCTGTCTAAAATTTGGCAAAACCGAGACAAAGAACTCGCCAGCGTATGCGAGCTGGATTTAGTTGAAGCCGGCGTACAAAATCCCGCTGACCGAACTGCCATCCTGACTTCAATCAGCAACTATTACGACTATCTGAATCGTAGAATAGAATATCCGGAGGCAGATCTAAGTCCATCAACATCAACACCCACAGGACCAGCATTGGATGAAGACCATGAACCAGTGCCTCCGAGCTCGCCGCCGGAAGAACCGTCTTCAGCCAGCGGCGCTGTTCAATTTTCAGAATGCGTTGTTTGTTTGGAGGAAATGGTATCAAATCTTAGAAACTGTTTCTTACAATTGACTCATACAAGAATATATTTCAGGTCCAAGTCATATTTCTACCGTGCGGCCATATGTGTTGCTGTGCTGATTGCCATGTCAGTATACATGATTGTCCCATGTGTCGTGCGTACATTGAAAGGAAAATTAAGGTCATTCAGCCTTGAATTGACAACACCACAACTGGTACCAATTCTAAAATTGCTATTAAATGCCACTAAAAACTAATAAACATTAATACATATTTACAGACTTGGAGGTCAGCCAAAGGACACAAAGCAATCGTTTCAGTAGCACTCTGTCTGAGGCGAACAGTTCATCTATAAACTACAAGTATTTATCTCGAACGAAGATATTGAAAAAAGAACTTTAAACCAAATCTACAATTAGAGAAGTTTATACACATCAATCGTATTCAACAGCACGAATCATTGTCGGAACTTTACATTAATCTTTACAAAAGTTATTCATTCCCAGCGTGAGTAAATTTCTCCATATCCTATCAACACTATTGTCAAATTTTTTGTCGCACATTTTGGATTTGAAAAGTACGTTTGAAAACTTTTGTCAATATCGTTGAATTTACATGTGTCGGACTGTCGATTTTAATCCTAACTGATAACAACAACAAAAAACTCGTTTTAGTACGTTGTTTGCAATTTCAACTCTGTTGACTACTGAAACCTTAAAAAACGCATTACGAACTAGCTTTAAGCCCTATACAGTCAATAAACTCTAAGCATAAATTTAGACATCTCTAAGAAACAAGGATAAACATAATGCATTGCAAGAAGCTCAGCAAAGACACAAAACGCAAAGTATGGAATTCAACACATTATACATTATATAGTGCCTTTTTCGGGGAAAAGGAAATGTGTCGTCACCAAACAAATAGAGCGAACGGAAAGGGGTAGGATAGAATGTTGCAAATGATAACTGAATTACACATCAATAATAATGCGGCTATAATAGCCACAACCATCGAACATACTTACATAACACTACCTACTCTTTGTTAGATTTGATGACCAAAAACAGGCAGATATTATGTACTTTCCGCTTTCACCTAAAACAACACTTCCAACTTTTCAAGACAAGCGAAAACAAATACCCCAACCTACTTCTATCGTGAAAAAGGTATCAGTAATCACTATACTAACAAACATTTAGCAATCAATTTGTTATCCTTTTAAAAGCTATATCATACGTTGAGATTTATGTTTTACGTATTAACATGTTTTATGAATAAAATAAAGAATATTTTTACTTAAAATGTTTTGTTTTTATAATATCGTAATGACAATGAATGACTTATGGGCCCATTAAACACATGGGTTATCAGAAAAAATTACGTCAACGCAACGCAAACGGATCTATTGTGTGTGACGCTTCAGCTATGGCTGCTTGTGGCGACATCTAACGGAACATAACCGTATAATCTTTTCCATTAGTTCAATCAAACTGCTGTAACTTTGTCGTGAGCAGATTTTACTCTTATTAAGTATAGTCGCTATATTCATAGTCTAGCGGATAGAATCTCGGGAACCAATTGAGCTGTCAAATAGCGGCCAACCGAGCAAATCACGACCAACAACAGAAAAGAGCACATCAGCTATTGCGAACAAAACTTCGGAAACCCTTTTCTCGTGACGCAAGGCTCGCCCACCGACAAACCGACATGAATCATCATACAATTTACAATTGTTCGCGAAAAATGTTTATCCTAGCCACAAACACGCGTATAAAATGTATGAGTTGGTTCGTGTCTAATCTATTTCGGACAAATTGTTTGTATCTAGATGAAACATTTCTATGGTTTTGACAGATGGGATCGCTGAACATTTGAATCGGCCGTTATGGATTCTCGATCAAGAGTTAAGTTTCAGTTTCATGTCGGTTTGTCGGTGGCTCGCCTACGCAAACTAACGCCATGTTTGGGTTGAAGAAAGTTTCCCCTATCAGATGATGCTGGTAATTTGCGTTCGATTGGCGAGGAAAGAATAATTAACGTTTTGTTTATAAAAGTTGATTATTGTTTTTATTGTTGTTTTACATCAACAGGCTGGATGAAGCCCCAATGATGTTAACCTTATCAACTATAGTAAAAATACATTCAAGCATGGTCATAACATAAAAAACATTAAAAAACATATATATTATAGTCAGTTACTCCTGCCGGCGAAAAACTGAAGAAAACTTTCGACGAAGCGCATTACGGGAGAGATAAAAGTCGAAAACAGATGCAACTCTGTTGAATGTTCTCTGCAGTCCGCAAATCGCACCGTATGCTCCATAATTTGTGCGAAGTAGAGGCAGTCTTATAGCGAATTCGTTTATTATCGAGGTTGGAACCAGTTCCAACCCAGTGCGAAACCGAACTTTTTGTCAGTGCGAACCTCAACCTGAGCTGGGTTTTAAAAACAAACGATCGAACTGACGTTTGTCAGAAAACAAGCAGGCCCAATCTTGATACCCGATCCAGGTTGGAACTGAATAATAAACGAATTCGCTATTAGCATAAGGTTATTACGAAGCGGTTAGGGTTGAACATTCAGGTCAATTTGCCTAAGGATAGCCTCGCAATCTGTCCTTCCTTGCAGGATATCGGCCACGCTTAGGGCCCTGCTTGTGTCTCTTCTAGTCCGGAGAAAGTTCTAGGTCGATAAGTTGACAACGGCTTTCGTAACTGAGTATTCAAAACGGATCATTCCAAGGCAATCTACGCAACGCAAAACGAAAGAAGCGACGTTGAACAGATTCAATTCTCTCGGCACCGTTGTTGAAGTCTGGGTTCCAAACCGCTGAACAGTACTCAAGCGTCGATCGAACAAGCGAACAAAAGAGCGATTTCAAACAGTAGATATAAGTGAAGTTTTTAGCTATCCTAAACGCCTTATCAACAACATATGCAGGGCTGGTAGCGATCACTGCTGTCAAAAATAGTGATTTTAGTGACCATGTTGAAGAAATAAGTGACCAAATAGTGACTTATAGTTGTAAAAATAGTGACTAAAAAGTGACCTAAGAGAAGAAAAGTAGTTTTTCTGATGGCACACCAAATAAATGTTTGATGTTTTAGACTTATTCAATAAATATCTCATAAACACTTATGTACGATCCAATAGAAAGTTTATGACCAAACCCACGGTAATAACTGCTAAAACCTGGAAAACCGGGAATCCTCAGGAAATTTTATTTTTCCTTAAAATACCTGGAAGGCTCAGAGAATTTAATAATTTTATTACTAAGGATATTTTAAAGAAAAGAATTAATTTGAATAGGGAAGAGCACTACATCGTCGTAATCGCCCATTTCCGTTCTATTGAGCAGAAATCATCAATAATATCAATGATTTCACAATGCACAAAACAATAATACGTTTGTTCCGATGCGTTAGTTTATTAGCTACAACATAAATCCTATTAGAGCGCATTGTATGCATATTTACGCTCATTGTTCTCACAACAAAAGAAGCGCTCCTAGCGCATCCCCTTTTTCTCCGTTTATCCGTAGGACGAAGGAAATCTAATGGCGTTTCAATGCGTTTGGACGGAATTGAAACGCGTAGGACGAATTTAGAAGCAAGAAACAGTGTTAGATTTTTAATAATATCTCAACATTGTTTGACTCTTTATCAAATCCAACGGTACGTATGGAAAGGTGGATAAATTTAGAAGTTATCTTTGATGAAAACATTCCATGTTTTGTTCAAACCCTTTCCAAAAAGCGTGGCAAAGTGCGCGATGTCCTTAGTAGGACGGAAATTAGATCAAAACCCCTATACAAGCATTTCTCGTTTTTTCGTTATTTTCATTCACACTTTGAACATGGATGGAGTGGATTATTCTTTAATAACAAATAAATTAAAAAAAACCGAGAATTGAATTTTTTTTTTTGTTTTGTTTTTGAACATGCATTTTTCCTAAAAAAAATTAAATTTGAACTAGTTTTGGACTTAAAAGCGATAATACTTTAAGAAATTTTCAAGAATCAAGTTTTAAAAGCATGTGGAATTTTATTATAATTTCTTAGGACCTCAATCTGCTTTCAAGGTAATCCTGAGGAATTTTAGATTGTGAAGCTTGATAGTTTTGAGTAGAATTTCAAGAAACACTGAATTGAATTGAACGCAAATTTGAATGAAAATTCTTAGTAGTCAAGATATTTCCGAGGAAAACTAAAAGTAAATATTTATAAGTGTTGAACCCCTCGGTTCATACAGCAACGCTTCATTTCTATCTGCCAATCTGGCAACTCTTTCTTATTTGACAGAACTACTTCCGCTGTAACGATCAACTGAATAAAAAATCATTCTTTCTTGTACCGAGCAACTTAACAAATGTGTTTGCGTATTACTTCACTGAGCCTCCGATTCCAGTCTTTTCAGGTTAACCTCCAATAATAAGTAGGTAAGTAGGTATATTTCAATGAAAATCAGAATGGACTATTCTGAGGTCTTCAGAACTACTTGAAAGTTCCCAAATTTGTCCTGAAGTTAATGAAACTGCTTTGCATTTCTTTTTTTGTTTGAGAAACTAGCCTGATGCTCACAATACTTCTCATTACATTCTTAAACTTTCCTAAAGTTTCCTCAATTTTTCTTTAAAGTTTCCTCAATTTCAAAACTATTATAGATCTCTTTTAAAGGTTTAACAATTCGCTGAAGTTCTCTAAACTTCTTTAAAATTTATGTGACTTCTCTAATGTTAACAGAGCTGCTCTGAGGTTCTCTGTTCTTTTCTGAAATTCTCAAAACTTTTCCAAGGTTTAAAAAATTTTAAGCTTCACTGAACTTCTAAACTCATGGGAAGACCTTAATTACATTTTTGACGTATCTGAAGTTATCTGAAAATCTGGGAACTGCCTTAAATTTTCACTAATTTTCTGAAACTAGTGGCACTGACCTCCACTGAAATTCTTTCAATTTTCGAAGCTTACTAAACTTGTTTAAAATGCTCCCGCATTTTGCTTATGTTCATAATGAATTCCTGAAGTTCGCGGATATCCTCTTAAGCTCCATAGATTTCTATGAAGTTCTCGAAATGTTTCTGAAGATCACTGTCCTTCTGTGAAGATTTCAAAGTTTTTCTAAACTTCTGGAACTTTTGTGCTCTTGCAATTTTTATGGAATTAGAACGACATAATTAATATAGTTCTATGATTTTCTCTGAAGTTCTCAAGATTTTTCTGAAGTTCAATAAACTTCCCGTAAATTATTGGCTTTACTTTAAAACTTTTTCAATAGTCTAGACTGGTGGTATTAAAACTGCCTAAATGATTATTGAATTTAATCAAAGTTCTCTAGACTGCCCTGAATTTATCAGTATTTTTTAAGAACCCGCAATGTTACTGAAATTAAATGAGTTGCCTTGAAGTTTCGGCAATTTTTTGTAAGTATTATAATAATTATAAACGCTCACTTATTTTCCCTGAACTTATCTATGCTTACCTGAAGTTCTCTAAATTTGTTTGATACTCCTTCAAATTTTCTGATATTTATTCATAATTCCCTGGCGCTTCTGACGATTTCGGATCAATCATAGAATTCTTGGAATACCCCATAATTCCACGGTACTCCGTAAGTCACTTCAAATTTGCTTAAGTTAATGGGATTATTCTGAAGCTATATGATCGTCCTCGAAGTACTCGATATTTCGCTGAATATCATGAAACCATCTAAAAATATCTAAATTTATTAGAAGTTCTCTGGATTTACTTGAAGCTTGCTAAAAGTTGTCGCATTTTTTTTAAGGAACTTCGTTGATGTTCTCTAATCAACTAAGCTAAATTTTCGCATTTTTTTAAATTATTGAAATCTCCATGATATAACACCCTTAAAATACTGTCACGTTTTCCGGATGTTAATATAATTTTTATTACGTTCCAGAAATTCTCTCGGAGCTTTGCTGAAGTTTCCGGGTATTCTTTGAGTTTCTCGAAACTTCTTTAAGGTTTCTACAATTCCTTGAAATAATTTGAACTGCCCTTTGATTCTCTAATCTGTCTTGATGTTCTCGAAGCTTCCCTAAAGCTCTAAATTCTATTGAGGATCTCAGTTCTGCTCGGAACTTAATAGAATTCCCGTAAATACCTTTAAATTTCCCTGAAATGCTTTGGGCTTCTGTGAAGTTCCTGAAATATTTCTGAAGTTTTCATAATTTTTCTGAAGGCCTCTGTATATCCCTGAATCGGAACATCTTAAGGGTTCTCGATTTTTTTTCAGCACATCATGGAACTATCCTAAATTTGTCTAAATTTACGATTATAGATCTTTAAACTGCTCCAAAAGTCTGGACTAAAGCTACGGAAACTGCTCTTAAGATCTGAAATTCCCCAAAGATCTCTAGAACTAGTTTTTTGAGGTACTTAGAACTTCTTAAAAATCGTGTTTTCTATATTTTTCAAGATCGCTTGACACATGTGAAGTTCTCTGAAATTCTAGGAACTTCATAAAAGTTCCTGAAAATTTTCGGATGCTAGAAGAACCGCTTTGAGGTTTTTGAAGTTTCCAGTAAGTTTGCCATATTTTCAGCGTATTAACTTCCCTTATTTTATGGAGCTTTACTGAAATTCTCAGCATTTATTTTCATTACTCAGAACTTCTCGAAAGTTCCTGCCATTATTGTGAAGTTAATGGGACTGCATTGAAGATTTCTAATCTTTAATAAAATTAATTACGAACTTGATATAAATCTTTTTTTTTTCTTGATTCTGGCACTTTGAAAATTTTCAATATCTTGAACTTGTACATAGAATGCGAAACTTCAAGATATTGAATAATTTTAGATCTTGGACTTACTCAAATTAAGTAAGTTTTTTTTTAAGTTTATAAAGTGAGATATTAAGTAAGTGTTAAACTTCAGCATTCAATGGATTTGATTGTAAAGCTGTTTCTTTAAAACTGATTGCCATCTTTTGAAAACGTTTGGGTAAATTGCTATTGTTTTGATCTACAAAAAAAGCATATTTTTAACGCATTTAAAAAATAGCTTTCTTATTATAAGCCTGGAATTTATCCGTTCAAGTTCTGGAAAACTCAGGTAATTTTATTTAGAAAGATGAGTAGACACCCTGTAGATAGAGAACGACGATTAAACGTCACAAAGCAAAGAATGATCAATCTTAAAATAAATACACGCTAAAAAAGTTGAAAATAGTGACTGATTACAAGAAGAAGTGAGTTTAGTGACTTGGCCTTAAAAAAGAGACTTTTTAGTGACTGGCTTGAAAAAAGTGACCAAGTCACTAAAAAGTGATTCGCTACCAGCCCTGGATATGCAATGTGTTGCTTGAATGAAAGCTGAGAATCCAAGATCACACCCAAGTCTTTCATCTGATTCATGCGTTCGATTGTCGAGCCAAGCAGGTCATAACTGAATATTATCGGTTGTTGTTTTCGTGAGAACGTAATAGCGGCCCATTTGGCTGGGTTCACTACCATTCTGTTTAACCTGCACCAACTAGCGAATACATTCAGCTGACGTTGAAGAAAGTATAAAAGTTAAGGGTCCCATGTGGCTTCTCTGAGGGATACCTGATGTGGCGAAGAAGCTTGCTGATCTTCAATCTCCTATGGCAACCTTTAGTTGCCGACCGGTAAGATATGATCGAAACCAACTCAGAAGGTTACCGCATACACCGAGCCTGCCGAGTTTAGAAATCGCAATAGCATGGTTCAAAACTTGTCGAATGCTGCGGATAGGTCTGAATAAATAACGTCCGTTTGAACCCGATCCGACATGCTTTCGGTTATATACGATGTGAGACACAGCAGATTTGTGGTTTTAGAGAGGCTGACAGTAAGCCCATGTTGATCAGCACTCAAATACTGCTTGCAATGGGACAGCAACGGTTCCATAATCACTAGCTCGAATAGCTTCGAAACGGCACTTAACGATGTAATTCCTCGATAGTTATCCACAGCTCGCTTCCTTCCTTTTTTTTGTGGACGGGAAACATGTGCGCATAGTTCCAGCAAGATGGAATATGCCACTGGAGAGAGACATTAGGAACAGGCGACGAAGCGGAATTAACAAGTTAGCAATATGTCTCTTCAAAAATACAGATGGAACTCCATCAGGTCCAGGATTGAAGGATGACTTGAGCAGAGTCGCGGCGTTTGATCATTTACTGGAACGTTCCTGGCAGCCAGCTTAATATGGTCGTCAGTTAGTATCTCATTAGTGAATAGGTACACTGGCAAACTTGTCGGAAAAAAGGCGACATATATACTGAACGGTGGCAGCAACTTCTCCATTGAATTCCATAGACGATGGGAGCCCTGGATTCCCTGCGTTGCTCGTTCACGTAGCTCCAAAATGATTTCGAGTGTAGCTTAAGTTTGCGCTGGATGCCTCGTTGGAAACTTGAAAAGCATTCACGACTGACTCGCTGGTACATGTGATTCAGCCTCACATAATGTAGTTTCAAAGGAAGCGTGCGATGCTTCGTAAATCTTCTCAATGCTGCTCTTTTGATTGACTTCAACCTACGTAGCTCTCTCGTCTGCCAGGGAGGGTGAGACACTTTGTGGTGAGTTCTTTCCGGGACGTGTCTGTCAATGACATATACCAAGACATGTGAAAAGGTTTGCGCTGCAGCCTCAACGTCATCTGGATCAAGGATGTTCTCCCATACCATGCTAGACAATACATCTATGATGCTACGGTGGTCAGCTTTACGGAAGTCATAAGAAACCGTAGCAGGATAATCGTCGAAATCACGCACGAGTTTGTCCTCAACAGTGACAATTAGAGGAGGGTGATGTGAAACTGGCTTAGTTAGTGCACAAGGAGCCGAGCAAATTAATGGAGCCCTGTCCTGTGTGCTCACGAAGCAGAGGTCCAAACTACGATCATTTTTGTTAACTACATGGTTAATTTGAGAAAGCGTCGCTGCGCTGTAGTTGTCGAGAAGGCTAATAGCTCCTGCGTGAAATGTAGAGCTATCAGGATCTGGGTACAGGAATCCGCTATGAGATGGACTCCACGAAACGCCTGGCAGATAAGTCACCAAAAATTAATATCTCATCAACTGGAGTGGCACTTACGATAACTGTGAAAACTGACCGACAGTGAGTATCGATGAGTTCATTGTCCCGGACTCGATCAGGTGGAATGTACAGAGCGCATAGTAGTAGTGTGCGATCACCCAGATTGATGGCTGTCCAAACCTGCTCCACATAGTTCCATGCAGTGGCGTCGCGTAACCTCACTTTTTACCTGTTCAACAACTTTGAAAACGTTATTTAGGGTCATGTTTACATTCAAATCAGTTTCAAAAGGCATAGGGTCTTCTAGTTTCACTGATTTTTATCCATTGAAACCAATATTGTTTTGTTTGTTTACGTTTTTAGAGTTGTTGAACAGGTAGATTGAGGTTAGGGCTACGCCACTGGTTCCATGAATCCTTCTCGATCGCCTTTGCCTCCAACCCGCCACGGACTACAAGGACACCTCCACCAGTAGATTTACAGCTGTTGTTAGGATTCCGCAACGAAAGACCTCGTAGTCAGGACCGAAGACTTAACTGGAAAGCGTTCGATAATCGAGCCACCACGTTTTGACAGGACAATTACATCGTAGCAACAATCCGATAAAGCTAGGCGGTACTCTTTAACATCAGAATTCATTCCACCGGCGTTTTAGTAGAAGATCACGACGTCCTGCTTGCGGCAAGGAATCGAACGACTGCTCTCCCTGAAAATCACAGATACATCAGGCAATAACTGACCATCATCAAGTCTCATTGGATACTCGCCATAGTGAGTGGGTTGAAAGACCCCACCGACAGCAGGTTCGCAACGACTATGATGAACGAAGTCTGCTGATGGCAGGACTGAGACGGAGGGATTGGGGGTTCCATGGGGCTTTCTACGGCGCGTTCCGGGTTCCCAGGATTGGGAGTTACAGAGGCATCATCACAATGACTAATATAGTCCGAATTGCTGAATTGATCGGCATCAGGTAGTGAATAGTCAATATATTGATTGTACTTGCCTGTAGAGGCAAGGTGAAGACTCCTATTATATTTTTGCCTAAAAATCAGACCATTTTTTTCAAACGCGCGTCATTTTGTCAAAAATCAATATATTTACAATCGGCCAGGTAGAGGAAATGGATGTAATGTAGGCCTAAATGCCCCTAATTTAGGCCCATACATAAATTCAGCAATCGACTAAATTTTCAATAGCGACCAAAAATATCCATTAGTACCGTCCCAATGACGCGTTTATCTAGATAAAATATATAATAGCACCTTTTTACCGATGGGCCCAACATTAGAGCAATTTCCCCTACTATATAAAACCTATATACGATATCAACGGCAATACCTTAACCCCTCTTTTGGGACTTGTCATGACTTGTCTCAATGTCTCATGAGCAAAGATGTTTTGCCAACATATGCTAAGTCAATGATGATCGGTTTGGTAATCGGCAGTGGAAATGTCGCCAAAATCCCGAACATGATAATCAACAGTGACAACCAAAGGATGGTTAGGAACTTCCTTTCCTAGTGGAGCTACGATTGTTCTCGTTGAGTACGTGATCGATTTGAGATAGCGTTGCTGCTGATCATTTTACGAAAGCTCTACTGTCGTTGTGAAGAATACCAAAAAGAATGATTGGGATGTTGAGTGAAGCCTTTTTTTTTAAATACCACCGGAATTTTCGGATGAGTGAAAACCACTTTTCCTACGTGTACATCGATTTTACGGTGTATTAATTTGTACTGTTGTAATCTCGGTATATATCCCTTCGAGGTATTAATAAGGAACAAATATAAAAATAATAATCAATACATGGACGAAAAAAGTACTTACAGCTTGCATTGGCTGCCTATCTACCTCCTGCCGGATCGACACACCCCACTACTTCTTGTACACCTTGCCACCGTAACGAGCTACGAAAGCAGCAACATTGAACTTCCGCTTGCAGCCTTCGTAGTTCATGTAACGAATCTTTCCAAAGACTTCCCGCTCGCGCCATCCCTGATCGTGGATGCCCGCAATGGACCACATGCAGCCAACGTACCCATTAGGATCACGGCCATCCAGCTGGTAGCGATCGTTCAAATAAATAGCCGTCTCGAGAGCTTCCTCCGGAGTTTTTGTCCATTCGAGAATCTTCTTCGCCCAGTACATTCGCAAAAAGCCATGCATTTTACCTTCCTTGACCATCTGGATCTGTGCCGAATTCCACAAATCGTCATGGGTTTTCGCTTGCTCAAGCTGGTCCCTACTGTAGAGATACGTACGCTTATCTTTACGGTGGTCATTCAAGGTTTTCTGAGCCCAATCGTAAGCGCCCTTCAAACTGTCATAGTTTTTGTTGTAGAAACAAAAGTTATCGGACAGCTCTCGACGGACAATCGCTTCTTCACAAAAATCAGCTACACCCTCGGAGAAGCCTTTGCCGTACTTCTTAACCGTCAGAATGCACCGCTGGACGGATATTTGGCCAAAGTGAAACCAAGGGGAGAGATTCGACAGAGCATCCTCGGTAGGATCGTTTCGTTTAGCATTGAACTTCCTCAACCGCTTCTCGACAAAGCTTTGTAGGACACCAAGCCCTCCGGTGTAACCCGGAGTGGCCCAAGCAACCTCATCTACGCTTCTATCTACCTCGACTGTATCCAACAACTTGGTCCAATCAATTGGATCAGCTTTGAAGGAAGCCTTATGGGGGTGTTTGATCACCGGTGGAAATTGCGTCAGATATGTATTAAGATTGCCATTCACCTTGTTACGGATCGTTCGCGCTGCATATTCTTGTTTTTCAGATGTCACCCACAGTGGAACGATATTATGGGCATCCACCTGGCAGAGCGGTATTTCGGCTGGCAGTGATTTACGAACATCTTCAACCCATTGCATCGGAACTCGCAGTGGACTAAAATCACATACCACGGCTCCAATCTTGTGTGTCTTCACAAACTTCGGAATGGTATCTTTAGCCATCCCAGTCAGCATGTGGAAGTTGATATCCAGAGATTGACATTCTTTTGATACTTCTTCAAGTCCTGCAACATAAAAGAATAAACCAAATAGCCCACCAACATTGTTTCCACAAATACTACAGTAATACCTTTCAGCATGAATTTGTAATGCCTAATGGTGGCATCGAGAAACTTCGGAACCAAGCTGAAGCAAACGTGCAACGGCAGTTCGTTCTTCAGGGCAAGTTTTTGTGCGAACAGAAAAGCCCAGTTGTCCTGCACCCGGGCATCACGGGACATCCAATAAACGACTCCCTTTTTGTTTTCTTCCACTTCCTTGGTATCGGAAAGAATACGTACGCGCTTTTTCTTGAAATCAAAATCCAGAATAGACTTGGCCGTTTCTTTGCGGGTGGTTTTGAATTTCTCCGCAAAATCATCCACTTTGATTGGACCGCCTTCGACTTTGGGTTTCTTGTTGGCGGGTCCATCCGCTTTCGAGGAAGACGCTTTCTTCATGGTTCTGAAACTAACGCGTAAACACACCGGATGTTCGATTGAATCAAATTGTGAAATTCGTTTATAGTCGCTTTTCGTACGCTTAAAGAATGCAAACTTACCAGAGGGTAAGGAGGTTTCGGTTAGTGGAACAAGCTTTTCTAACGTTGAAAACTACGTGCATAAATTGATTTGAAGAACTTGATTTTCTTTAGTAATATTTGCGACCAACGCTAATTAAAAATACAATAAACACGAGATTGTTTTGCGCCTCGCTTTATCGAAAAGTAGGATACACAAAACATGAAAAAGGGTTCGTCACATTTACCGCTCATGGTATCCTCGAAAAAGTTCAGGCGTTTGTTCACTAATCATTGCGAACAGGCTTGCTTCCACTCACTTGCTATAAAAAGATGATTTTTTGAATTTTGGAATTATTAGATGTTATAATCATATTTTGTACTTGTTAGCTCGCTTGCTAGATACAAGAGGAGGTTGAAAGGCAAGTGTTTGACACATCAAACCTTTAAAATTCGCTTTCAGATAGTCACAATCAGCGATTTTACGACTCGCGAGCGCTCACTCTGAGTGAATCGCTCACGAATCATGAAATCGCTTATTGTAACACTCTGTTAGCAAAATTGACAGGTTTTATGAGTCAAACACTTGCCTTTCATCCACTTCTTGTATCTAACAAGTACAAAATATCATTATAACGTCGAATGATTTCAAAATTCAGAAAATCATTTTTTATAGCAAGTGAGTGGAAAGCAACCTTGATTGCGAACCCTAACCCCAATCAATACGAAACTAACGATTTAAATTGGCTCACCACTTTAGTAGCCTATTGGTCCCAAGCAAACGATTAATGTACCCTATTCTAGTTGAAATTCTATTACTACACGGATAGAAATCTCCTTATACCTTTTGGCAAATTTCCATTGCTGATTATTCATTAAATGTATAAGTCAACTAATAAGCAGACGCCTTGCAAAAAGTTAATAAAGATCATGTGTCAAATGAAATGTATAAGCGGTCACACATACCTTTTATGCATTCTAATAGGACCTATGTGGTTTGTTTTATGGAATGTATAAGGCTGATGCTTTGGCTAAAATGTATAAGTGAAACACATGAATTAAATAATTGATTTTCTTTTCGTGTACACTATGTTTGTTTTGATTCGCTATGAAAGTTTGACAGATAACATCAGGGGTGTGTGGATTCATGCAGAACATGCAGGGGTGAGTGAAATAGCTTGGGACCGTTGTTCTGGTACTGAGTGAGCCAAAAACATAGAGTTACCAACAATCAATACGAAACTAACGATTTTGAATTGGCTCACCACTTTAGTAGCCTATTGGTCCCAAGCAAACGATTAACGAACCCTATTCTAGTTGAAATTCTATTACTACACTATGTTTGTTTTGATTCGCTATGAAAGTTTGACAGATAACATCAGGGGTGTGTGGATTCATGCAGAACATGCAGGGGTGAGTGAAATAGCTTGGGACTGCTTGGGACCGTTGTTCTGGTACTGAGTGAGCCAAAAATAATAATGATTTTCTTCGGGACCCAGTGGTCTTAGAGTTACCTCTATGGAGTTACCTCTATGCTAATGTACGTAATGTACGAGGTGGGACACACAAGGTTGGAAGTAGTCGACCGCCCAGCCATGAAACCATGCTGGTTTTCGCTCAAGTGCTGCTTGAAGTGAGATACTAATGGTTTCATAACGACCAACTTGAACAGTTTAGATATGGCACACAACGATGTGATGCCGCGATAGTTGTCGATGTTTCTTTTGCATCCCTTCTTATGCACTCGAAACATCTCAGCTGATTTCCAGCAGGAAGGAAACACCTGCTTGAGAATGACGGAAGGAACTCCGTCAGGTCCAGGCTTAAATGAAGACTTCAGTTGCGAAGCCGCCCTAGTTATCATAGCGAGGTCGATGTTGATAGCTGCCAAAGATTTACCAGACATTGGAACATTACTGGCTGCTAGAGAAACGTGCTCGTCAGGTAGGTTCTCATCCGAGATACACTCGCAAACTTGATTGAGAACAGACGGCAAATTTCCTGTGGGAGCAAGCTTCTTCACCGTTCAGTACCATAGTCGATGGAAGGCCAGACTCCTTTCGTAGCTCATTCACATAATTCCAAAAAGTTTTCGGGTGAGATCGAAGCTTCCGTTGAACATCTCGTTGATAACGCCGATAACATTGGTGACTGGTTCGTTGATACGCATGATTGATCCTCGCATAATGGTCCTTGAGTTGTAGGGTGTGGTACTTGGTGTATTTTCTTAGCGCGGCTCTTTTGGAAGACTTTAACATACGGAGTTGACTTGTTTGCCAAGGATGATGATATTTTTTTTTTTTTCTTTGGTTTGTTTTTTCCGTCGATCTTGTTTTCCGTGCTGAGCACCAATGCTACCGACGTGCCAGGAAGGCAGCTGGACCCTACCTATCGACCCATCAACTCATGAACCGGGGACCAACGGCTTTACTTCCCATCCGAAGGAAGGCGTGATCAGAGATGTTATGCCTCAGAACATCCCGGTGGCGCCGACTGGGATTGAACCCAGGCCTGCTGGGGTGAGAGGTAATCACGCTTACCACTACACCAATGATGATTACCTTGTCTAGGAACTTTTTTTCGGAACGTGTCACTCGCAGCCAAGCCAAAATATGCAAGAGCGTTTGGGCAGCTGCATTGACATCGGCAGGGACGAGTATCCTGTGCCAGTCTAAATTCGAAAGAAGTTCCCCGATGCTGCCGTAGTCAGCATTTCGAAAACCGTAGGAATCCTCTAAGGGAGGTGGAATGACCTCAGGAATTTGGTTGCCTACAAGTGCAATAACTAAAGGAGGATGGTGTGGAACAGTCTTTATCTGCGGAGAAACAGCCATAGACAAATGCGGAGCAGTATCCTGAGCAGTGACGAAGCAAAGGTCTAAGCTACGATTGTTCTCATTAACCACGTGGCTGATTTGCTTCAGAGTGGCGATACTGTAATGATCCAAAAGGCTTACAGCTCCAGAGTGAAATGTAGAACAGTTGTGGTCCGGATACAGGAATCTACCGTAAGATGACCGCCAAGAAATTGCCGGTAGATTGAAGTCGCCAATGATTATCATCTCGTTAGCAGCTGTAGCGATCTTCACTGTAGCTCGAATAGACTGACTGTGGGATTCAGTACCAGTCAGGTTACCGAAAATGACTCTGATTATTTTTCAATTAATTCAAATTACTTTATTATTTTGAAATTACATTTATTATTCTAAATTACCGAATTTACTACGATTACTTGAATAAATAGGAATTACTTTGGAATTACCCAATTATTCAATGATTAACCATGTTTCCAAAGATGGAATTGTTAGAGAAATACGATTTAATCCAGGCTCGATTAATAAAAATGAACTGCACAGCAAAAATCAAAACTAGAATTCCGTTAAACCAAAGATGAATACTAAGATGAAACTGTCGGAAGAAAAACTTTCTATTTTAGTGTCTTCTTTCACGGTCCCTTTCATCCAATGAAAACCCTCCGTATTCAAGGTAATTTTGTAGTTGTGCTGCCCCCTCGGAAGAGATGAAATTTTGCGCTCATTTTTATCAAAACAATCACACTAAAATCAGAGATGTCCCATTTTTTAATTACTCGATTAACAACTAATCGATTATTTTTTGTTCGCTGTGCTGCCATTTTTATACCAATGAGAGTGCAGCACATGTTTGAAACGATCGGTGATGATCCTGTGGTGATGTTAATGCTTATATCGGCATGATGTAACCGATTATAAATAGTTTACTTTTCGGTTCGTTAATCGATTAAACGATTATTCGAATGAAAATCGGACATCACTAGATGAATGTGAAACGTCATTTCAAATATAAGAACCGTTCATAAATAATGATACAATTTGAAAGGGACCGGGGCTAATCACAAATTACGTCTCCATGGTAACTGAAATAAACACGAGTGTTCACCGGTTGGTTAAACCACAGACAAACAGACATAACACATTGAATATTTCTCACTGTAAAACATCGTCGCTGAAACGTAACCGCCATCTGTTGAGTATACTGTGGTGGGCACTACGCTGAAAAGATGGCGGTAGTGTGTAAACGTCAAACGCAAGGGGATTGACTATGCGCGCCACAGGTGGCGGTACTACCAACTACGATACTTTTAAATTGTCCGTTAAATGCTTGTTCGATGAACAATTTGCGAGTGTTATGTCTGTTTGTCTGTGGTTAAACTCTGACTGAGTTAAAAAAGATTCATTAAAAAATCGGAATTTGAAAGTGTTACCATAGAGGCAACTCTAAGACTAGAAGGTCCCGAAAAAACGTGCTCAACTCTGGTACTATCTTCGGTCCCAAGCTAATCGATGCACCTCTCGAAACATAGGAAAATCTACGAACCCCTCTTTTTATCTGTCAAACTTTCATAGCGAATCAAAACAAACATTGTGTTGTACTAGAATTTTGACAAGAATGGGGTAAGTTAATCGATTTGCTTGGGACCAATAGGCTAGTCAAGTAGTAAACCAATTTAAAATCGTTAGTTTCCACAGGTTGCTGTTACTGTAAATATTGTATTTAAATATAGCAAGACTCGCCTGTTGCTTTTGTTTGATTTGGATTTGGACATTTACCCGGTATGGTCCAAAGTAGGCACGATTTCCTGCCATAATGCGTCTTTGAATTTCTCTGCTGGTATCATTTTCGGCGGTCACCAGTGAGCCCAAATACACGAACTCATCGACCACCTCGATTTCGTCACCGTCAATCTGAACTCGGGGTGGGAGGCTAACATTGTCTTCCCTAGAACCTCTTGCTTTCATGTATTTTGTCTTTGATGCGTTGATGGCAAGTCCAATCCGTCTAGCTTCAGCCTTCAGTCTGATGTACGTTTCCACCATCATCTCAAAGTTCCGTGCCATAGTGTCAATGTCATCGGCGAAATCAAGGAGCTGGATGGACTTCCTGAATATCGTGCCACTCGTGTCTATCCCAGCTCTTCTGATCATATCTTCTAACGCGATGTTGAACAGCAGACACGAAAGTCCATCACCCTGCCGTAACCCCCTTCGAGATTCAAAGGGACTCGAACAACGCACATCACTCGATCCATCGTCGCCTTGACCAATCGCGTCAGTTTATCCGGAAATCCGTACTCGTGCATAATCTGCCATAGCTGATCTCGATCGATTGTGTCGTATGCGGATTTGAAATCGATGAACAAATGATGTGTGGGCACGTTGTATTCGCGGCATTTCTGCAGAACCTGCCGAATCGCGAAAATTTGGTCCGTGGTAGCGCGGGCACCCATGAATCCCGCCTGGTATTGCCCCACGAACTCTCTTGCATATGGTGACAGACGGCGGCATAGAATTTGGGAGAGTACCTTGTAGGCGGCGCTCAGCATTGTGATCGCGCGGTAGTTGCTGCAATCCAACTTGTCGCCCTTTTTGTAGATTGGGCATACGACACCTTCCATCCACTTCTCCGGTAATATCTCCTCCTGCCAAATCTTGGCAATTACTCAGTGCAGCGCTCTAGCCAGTGCTTCACCACCGTATTTCAATAGCTCACTTGGTAGTTGATCTACACCAGTTGCTTTGTTGTTCTTCAGCCGACCGATCTCCTCCTCAACTTCTTGAAGATCAGGGGCCGGTAGCCTGTCGTCTTCTGCGCGTGCTCCAAGGTCTGTTGCCGTGCCACCTTCGTTTTCTGCTGCTTCACCGTTGAGGTGCTCGTCATAGTACTGCTTCCACCTCTCAATCACCTCACACTCGTTCGTGAGAAGGTTACCGTCCAAGTCCTTGCACATATCGGCTTTGCGTGAACTATTTAGCTTCTCGTAGAACTTGCGTGTGTCGTTTACGCGGTACAGATTTTCCATCGCCTCGCGATCTCGGTCTTCCTGCTGACGCTTCTTCCTTCGGAAAACCGAGTTTTGTCTGTTCCGCGCTTGTCTGTATCGCTCCACATTCAATCTCGTGCGGTGTTGCAGCATTCTCGCCCGTGCTGCATTCTTCTCCTCTACTAACAGTTTGCATTCGCCGTCAAACCAGTCATTTCTTCGGTCCGGGATTGCAGTGCTAGTGCCGCTGCAGCAGTACTACCTATGGCTGAACGGATGTCCCTCCAGCCATCTTCCGTGGGTAGTGCAACTTCCAGCTGCTGCGCGTAGTCCTGGGCAACTCCGGTGTCCCGTAGTTGCTCAATGTTGGGTCGTGGCGTTCGACTTCGACGTGTGTTATGCACCTTCGAGAGTTTTGAGCGCATGCATACTGCAACTAGGTAGTGGTCCGAATCTATGTTCGCACTGCGGTACGTGCGGACGTTGATAATGTCGGAGAAGAATTTCCCGTCGATTAGAACGTGATCGATTTGGTTTTCTGTGTGTTGGTCAGGTGATCTCCAGGTGGCTTTGTGGATATCCTTGCGGGGAAAAAAGGTACTTCGAACTACCATATCCCGGCAGGCTGCAAAGTGCACGCATCGTTGGCCGTTGTCGTTCGATACGGCATGCAGGCTGTTTGGCCCGATTGCCGGTCTATACATTGCCTCCCGTCCTACCTGAGCGTTCATGTCGCCGATGACGATTTTGACGTCCCGTTGCGAACAGCCTTCGTACACCTGCTCCAGCTGCGCATAGAACGCTTCTTTCTCGTCGTCGGGTCTCCCTTCGTGTGGGCAGTGCACGTTGATGATGATATAGTTGAAGAAACGGCCCTTAATCCTCAACTTGCACATCCTCGCGTTGATCGGCTGCCAACCAATCACGCGTTGGCGCATCTTACCCAGCACTACAAAGCCGGTTCCCAGCTCGTTGGTGGTGCCACAGCTCTGGTAGAAAGTAGCCGCTCGATGCCCGCTTTTCCATACCTTTTGTCCCGTCCAGCAAAGTTCCTGCAGTGCTACGACTTCGAAGTTGCGTGGTTGAAGTTCGTCATAGACTAACCTATCGCAACCCGGGAAGCCGAGCGATTTGCAGTTCCATGTTCCGAGTTTCCAATCGTAGTCCTTATTTCGTCGCGTCGGTCTGTGCCGATTGTTCCGATCCGTATTTCTATCTTCGGTATTTGCAACTTTGTTTTTTTTTTCCAGGGCGGCTTGTTGGGCCTGCCCCAACCCCCTGTCTCGCCGGGGGACCATCGTGCACAGCTCTGTTTAGAGTCCCACGCTGGGACTAGGACGGTGATCAGCCGCTCCTAACATGGATAACAGACGCCGTTTTGAGCCACACCTCCATGGTGAGCAGAAGCTCAGGTTTGGTGAAGCATTTCCTCTATCACCGTACTATGGTTACCGCGCCAGTGTTCGCGTCGCACCTCTTCACTTTGCTATTGCCGGACTGGCAACATTGCCCAGGCTACGCCAATCAGCTGTGTCCATGTTTCAGCTGGTAGTCTTTTGTTATCATATGACTCGAGGAGGCGTGAAGTAGGAACTTGTGAGGACCAGGGCTAGGTATTCCGCTCCTTCCAGGCTGTCAACTCACCATTTTGTAGCCCACTTTTTCATAACACATTCTTAATTTTAAGCTCAAAGACAAAAACCAGCAGGCTCAGTGATGAAAGTATAAAATCCAGCATAGTTTTTATGACTCATCTGAACTTTAAATTTCATTCAAACATACTTTGGCGAAACATGTATGTAAGTAAACTTTGGTAGAGTCATGGTAGCTCGAGCACTCCTGGCTCAGAGCTTTTGGCGGCAGGGTTACTTCCACTCACTTGCTATGAAAAAATGTTTTCCGGAATTATGAAATCATGATATAGGATAATACTAATTAGTACTTGTAAGTTACAAGAAGAGGTCATGAAGTATATGTAAGACACATAAAACCTGTCAAAATTGCTTTCAGTGCGTCACAATCAGCGATTTAACGACTCGTGAGCGCTCACTCTGAGTGAACGCTCACGAATCATAAGATCGCTAATTGTGACGCTCTCAAAGCGAAATTGACAGGTTTTATGAGTCAAACACATACTTTACTACTTCGTCTTGTTACTTACAAGTAAAACATAGCATTATCGCATCTAACGATTGCATAATTCCGAATAATATTTTTTATAGCAAGTGAGTGGAAGGGTTGTTTGGCGGGATTCAACTGAGAAAGAGCAAAACAATTTTAATTTTGAGGAATTTTTCAAGCAGTTTTCCATTGGCTTGCAAAATAAAATCGATCCACGCCGCAGTACCCAGGTTTGAACATGATTATTTTTTCCCCCAAACACCGTGTTCACGGCGAATGAAAATAACCCGAATTTGAGTTTAGTTTTCTCTTAATCGCAGAAAGTACAGGAGCTCAGCGATGTGTAAATTTGGTTAATGTTTTCTTGTGGAAAATGAGGAAAATTGACAAAAAAATTACTTAGTCCAGGAATAGTTGCAATAGACTGAGTGAATCCAATCTTTACTTTTCTCATATTCGGGTTTTTTTTTCTGGACAAACCTGGAGGCAAATTTACTCATAGCTGAGTTCTTCCACTGTATGAGATTTATGAGTGAACTAAACTCAAATTTGGGTTGTTCTCATCCGCCGTGTACAATGTTTTGGTGTATCAAGACCTGAACATGTCAATTTATAGCAAGGTTATCGGTCGATAATTTTACCAATACCTTTATTTGACAGCTCAGATGCCGGACTTAAATCGCATAAACAAAACAGATGCAGCCAGTTGATTTCAGATTATGGTTTTCTGCACCAAATCATAAATAATATTAGAACTACATTATTATGCTCAGCGAAAATCTGTGCATTGCGTTGTACAACGTTTTTCCTGTTCTTCAGGATAAGGTACGTTTTACGAATTAGAGTTGATTTATTGAACTTGGTCATGTAATAAAGGTTTCATCTTAGCTTGCGATCATTCATGTCAGCGACGATCAAATTTCCCAACTTTCGATCCAGCTGGAACAGCTTCGGACAATTCCGATAATCTACGAAACGGTTTTCCTAAAAATAGACCGCTTATTACGCCATGAGACGGTTCCGAAATTTTGGCGACACTTCCAGCAGAACTCGGAATCCAGTTTGCCGGGCCAAGCGAAGAATACGAACCAACATTTTTTCCGCTTCCAACTTGCCGTTCGAGAACTTTATCAAGACTTCGGGCGATACTATCTTCAGTTGAAACGATTGGAAAAGCTGAAGAAGGGCGTACCGCTTCCGGTGGACGTGGCGAAGAAACCGAGTGATTTGAGTGAATTCTATCGACTGTTCCGGTGTGCACTTCTGGCACAGCTTCCGATCGATTTTAACGATCTGGTTTACGAGTTTTACAGCATTGCATTCAAGGTGTTTGCGCTGACCCATTCTGAGGGTGGTGAGTACTTGTAGATTAATGGAGGTTTTAGAGGGTGATGTAATGATTTTTCGGGTTGTAGATGATTCTATGGAAGTACCGGACGCATTTCAATGCACTGCCTGTGGACTAGAATCGAACCTATGTCAGTGTCAGAGTTTGGCAAATGCCTTTACAAGCACGAATCAGTACCTCGCTGCGATGGGATTATTGGATAAGATTGCTGGATTCACTCTGACCACCTTGATTCAGGAGAGGATCGATGCCAAAATAGGGGAAACGAAGGAGAACTTTTCCGTGTCGCATGTGGCATCACTTGAGCGATGGCTGAACACGATAGTGTTGCAGTGGTTGACCAGGATCTACAACCGAGGATCGCTGACGATTACGCCGGGGAATAGTAAGATTGAGGAGGCGATCAGCAATTTTCAGACGAAGTTGAGCTTCTATTTGTACGAGAATTATGCGAATACGATCATAGATCAATTTTTCGGGATTATCATTGACTTTCCAATGTCGCAGGCAGCAATCGATGATCTGAAGAAGTGCTTGGAGAAAATCGATTTGAAGAGCCATCTGGTGAAGACTGTGAAACTAACGTTGGAGAATAAGTTACTGCACCCAGGAGTTGATACGCCGGATATTTTGACCGGTTATGTAGCTGCGATCAAGTCATTGCGGCATCTGGAACAAACGGGGGTGTTGCTGCAGACGATCACAGAACCGGTGAAAGAGTATCTCAGAAGTAGACCGGATACAGTTCGATGCGTGGTCACTGGATTGACGGAAGAAGGCTGTTCGGATCTTTCGGAGGAGCTTGCGAAAAGTGAAAACGTGAAGACGAAGGAAAATACCAACGAAAAGTTGGAGCTCACTGATTGGGAAAATTGGAACCCTGATCCGGTGAATGCGGATGCCATGATGGCTAAGGATGCTCGATCCGGTAGACCTTCGGATATCATTTCAATGGTGGTGGATATTTACGGAAGCAAGGAACTGTTTGTGAACGAATACCGTAATCTGCTGGCGGAGAGATTGCTGTCCCAATTGGATTCCAATCCGGAAAAGGAGATACGTAATTTAGAATTGCTTAAACTTCGATTTGGCGAAACAATGCTGCACAGTTGCGAGGTTATGCTTAAGGATATCAACGATTCTAAGCGGATCAATTCCCACATACTATCGGAAGAGTCAGGCTTCGTTCAGGAGCGACCTTTCGAGTTGACTGCTTTGGTCGTATCTTCTCAGTTTTGGCCTACCTTTAAAAAGGAAACTATGGATTTGCCTCCAGCTATCAAGGATATGTTTGACCATTACAAAAAGGCTTTCGAATCGTTTAAAGACAACCGTACTCTCCACTGGACTCCACTCAACGGAAAGGTCACCATCGACCTTGAACTGGATGGCAAAACGACCGAAATGCAAGTGACTCCGGCTCAAGCAACCATTGCGATCCACTTCAGCGAGCAAAACGAGTGGGAACTGGATAAGTTGGGTCATAAAATGAACATGCCACCATCGATTCTGCGAAAACGTCTGGTATTTTGGCAATCTCAAGGTTTAATTCGGGAATCTAAAGAAAACTATTTCGTACTGAATGATCGCAACAGCAAGACGGAAACAGCAGAAGAACTGCAAGCTCAACCACCGGAAATGTGCGAAGACGATGAGGCGGAAAGTGCTATGGAGTCGGCTAGTGACCAACGTGAGGAGGAACTGCAGGTTTTTTGGTCGTACATCGAAGCCATGCTTACGAATTTGGACTCGCTGCCACTGGAACGTATCCACCAGATGTTGAAGATGTTTGCATCACAAGTGGAATTTACCGCAGAAGAATTGAAGAATATCCTGCAAAGGAAGGTACGGGAACACAAACTTGTCTACGCTGGAGGAGTATATCAACTACCTAAAGTTTAGGATTTCGAAGATTTATTCAACTGATTGAAATATACGTCAAGAAGTTTTCGTAAAATGTAACAGTCTTAAATGCAAACAGAATATCACAAAAAGGCATCGATATAATCAGGATCCAAACCTTCGACTTTGATCTTATTCTTCACAGCCGGCATGGGAACTCCAACTTGAAGCATTTTGAAATACCTTTCGTACTGTGGATCCCTTTCAATTACCTCCTCTTTTGATGATTCTTCTACGGTTTGATTGATTTCCGATTTGGAATCCTCTTCCGGGCTATTACCTTCCGGCTTGATTGCGACTTCCGGTTGTTGATTCCCTGCAATGTCGGATCCATTCCGCAATGCATCTATCGAAGCCAATTTTGCCTCCACGATCGACAGGGATGCTTCCAAGCTTTGTATTTTATGTTCATATCGGACAAATTTGGTCTCGCAATCTGTGGCGAATTTGTTGAGGAAATTTACGGTACTCAGTACAAAGTGATTGATGAAGGCTACCATCCGCTTTTGATTCGTTGGGGGAAGCTAAGCGAGAAAAAAAAAACACGTTGGAAAATATAGTCAAATAGCAATAGATATGAATAAAATAGTACCTCATGCTTTTCCAAACCAACAGTTTCCATATTATTTCTAAAATAAATGGGAAAAAATATCCAAACAAACTGAATACAATACCAAATAATTTACTGTTTTTTTTTTTATTAGTACAAACCAGAGTCATCTATAGCTCCCATAGTCTGGCGGATAGAATTTCGGGAACCAATTGAGGTGTCAAACGAGGTGTCAAATAGCGGTATCGAGCTAAGGGAAGAGGTGACAATATGGGGGCGAAAATGAACCACTTTTCTGTCAAACGTGAACCAGCTCCTGATTGGCCGATTTCATGTGCGTAAGATAGAGATAGAGATAGATAAAGATAGAGATAGAAATAAAAGAGGAAGAAGCCAATTTTTACCTCTTCCTCTTAGGTATCGAGCAAATCAGGGGAATCATGTCAGAAAACAAAAACATTATTCTAAAGGCCCAAGCTCAATGACAGCGGAAGCGGAACGGCAACGGCAGCGGAAAAGCCCGTTCTGAGTAAGCCAACTTGTCGGATTGAAAACTTGTTGAAACCTGTTGCAACCAAATCGACTTCGGTTAGGCATCTTGATGTCATTTGTGACAACTGTCAAACTTTCCGTTTCCGTTCCGCTTCCGTCCACATTGCGTTTGGGCCTTAACTCTATTGATTAATTGATCTTAGTTGGTTAATTAATGGCACCAAAAAATGTGTAAAATATTGCGATGCACTCAATTATTATTTTGCACGTAAATCGAATCAAAATGTGAAATGCTAGCTTCTAGCAAGAGCTGCAAAATAAATTTAATCCTTGGATTTAATCCTTGCTGCCGAATTGTATTTTGTTTTCTCCACCCATCTCTCCCTCAGAGTATTTCTAGTATACAAACAAGAAAAAGAAACTTTCAAGTCGTGAAACGGATTTTACCAATTTACCGAGTTGCTATAAAAATCAAGCATTGTAAGCTACGCCATGTTTGACAGCCGAGTGTAATCCGGGTTGAATCTAATGTGAACGATCCTGTCAAAGTCAAACTGAAGACGCAGAATAGTTTCCCCGCGGTTTTCCACGCACTGTATTTGAGTGATTGTTAAAGTTAAAATTTTCCATTAATTACTGCAACACTCAGCTAAATAAACTGAAGAAATAGCTCCAAAATGGTCGAAAGAATTGAAGATCTGAATCTTCCGAACTCTGTCGTAACGCGATTGATGAAGGAAGCTCTTCCTTCGGATGTTAAGATCTCCAGCGAATCCCGGGTGGCTTTGACGCGCGCCACTTCTGTATTTGTACTGTACCTGACCTCGGCTGCTACAGATGAGGCCGAAAAGAAAAAGCAAAAAACCTTGACTGTGGACCATGTCTTTGCTGGTCTGATGCAGATTGAATTCGACAGCTTCATAACTCCGCTGAGAAAGGATCTGGAAAGTAAGACGGGTTTGAAAGTATGGATGGGTGTCGGAGAACTTTTCTTTAATCAATAACTTCCCACTCTTAGATTATCGGAAAGCAGCAAAGAATAAAAAGGACAAGAAGGGTGTTAAACCGGAGAATGGGGAACCGATGGAAGAGGGTCACGAAGACGATTAGTATTAGAAGGTCCAAGACTGGAACACATTAGACGTAAGATTGTTTGATTAAATCTGATTATTTAATAAGATCACTTGAGCATCTTGCTTCATCCGAATGGCCATCATTTCTGTAAATTCCCATTTGTTTTGGTTGTACATAATTCAGTTTATTTGTTTTAAATATGTCTATATTACATCCGTTGAATTGAAAATAATTAAAGAAATCTAGCTACTGTCCCAAACATTAAACATAACGGCTGTTCACCCTAACATATTTACTTCTGTCTACAATTATTGTTTTGTCATCTTCGAATGCGGCCAGTCTTTCTTAAAGATTTTTCCCATTCATCTTGGAAGATCCTGTAGATCTTCATGGCGGCAGAGGCGTCCTGAACCGAGTCATGTATTCCTGTTTGAATTTCCTCTCCTAGAATCAGTTTGGACAGATTCTTCAAACTTGGAGTGCCTAGCGCTCGTATTCGCCGGGCAATAGGATTGAACCTAGCCGTGTCACGAGTCATTCTAAAAATAATAATAGAGCATTACAAAATATCGACTGCCCCAAGATGGTACGACCGGAAAAACTTACTGCCGAGGGTGTCGCAAATTTAGCACCAGCATGTCATTTTTTAATGCGTGCCCAACGAGGACTCGTCCATGCAAGAGTAATTTCACCGTTTCTCTAACCGAACTAAAATCTTGGCCGGATTCCATCAGCTCCGGCCGTATTCCGCTTATCTCCGTTCTAAAGTCTATCACAGTTTTCTGCGGTTTAACGTAGCTGTCCAGAACAACTTCTCCCCTTTCGTTCACAATCGATACCCTGGCCAGCATGTGCTCCTTGCCATCTGTTCCAGTGCCGACAAATTCACAATCCAGCGCAAGACAGTCCGATAGCTCGGTAGCATAAACCTTAGGTTGAGATCGTTTCTTACCGTTGCTCTTTTTACCAAATTGATTTTCTATAGTAAATAAAAAGATACCATCAATAATCATAGAACAGCCTTTAACTTCATGCTCGCGAACTGACCGTTGGTTATCGAAAGATTCCTTATGTTCAATATGTTCTCAATGTCCGCAGTATCTGGAATGGAAGATGGAATACCAGCACTGTTTACAAACATTGTAACCTTCAGCTTGAGCGTTCACCTACCAGAACTGCTTCCTGATTCCACTTCGTTGCCCATGTTTTGTCCACAATTTTCGATTTTCTGCTACAATGCGACGGAAATTTAGAATGATTAGATGATAAGAACCACTTTTATCGAAGGCAAAGCCATTACACATAAATATTTAATAGTTTGCTAATTTTCAAGGTCTTCGATGGATAAAACTGCAGTTTGTTTTGCAGAAAATTTCACACGGCCACTTTCTGACCATCCTATAATGGAGGAACTTCTGACATTTTGTTTTCTCGACTCTTTCGGTTTTTGGTTACCATCAACTGTCAAAATATCCAAAATGGACGAAAGGGGCTGAAGGGTAATAGGTCAACCGCGTTTAGGTCGAATGAGCAAGTGTTTCCAGGACTGAATCAGAGTCGATGTTATAATAAGAGTCCCGCCAAGAGAAAATGTGGCGAACAAGCAGCACTGTTTTTTTCTTTCCTTTATTTAACGTCGGTCTCTGTTCCGCAATCTAGTGCCAATGACCGACGGACATCGATTGCCATCCATTGACGGCAATCGAATGTGCAGGAAGGCAGCTTCCACACCTGCGTAGGATATCGCACCCATTCAACACACATGGGCCGGGACCAACGGCTTTACCAACAATCAATACGAAACTAACGATTTTAAATTGGCTCACTACTTGACTAGCCTATTGGTCCCAAGCAAACGATTAACATATCCCATTCTAGTCGAAATTCTAGTACTACGCAATGTTTATTTTGATTCGCTATGAAAGTTTGACCGATGAAATGAGGGGTTATTCGTTTTTCCTATGTTTCGAGGGGTGAATCGATTAGCTTGGGACCGAAGATAGTACCAAAGCTGAGCCAAAAAGTTGAGCACGTTTCTTCGGGACCTACTAGTCTTAGAGTTATCTCTATGGCTTTACTTCCCTTCCGAAGGAAGACGTGACCAGATATTTTTATGCCTCAGAAAAATCCCACCGACCTCGGCTGGGATTGAACCCAGACCCATCGGGGTGTTAAAAAGCAGTCACGCTTACCACTACACCACCGGCGCGAGCAGCAGCACTGTTTGTGATTTATTTTTCGTCAGAGTAAACGGCAACCAGATATTTTGCGTTAGCATCGGATGACTTTCATTCAGAAGTGAAAAATTACATGTCGATAATGGAGCTCCTGGTAGACAAAAACAATTATAGAAGCTGAAAAATGTTCAAACAAGTGCTTGGTATATTTTATAAATACCACAATGTACTAAGTAAAGCGAAGAAATGTTTTTCGTCTAAAATTACTAAAATATTGTCAATAATGAATGCAATACTTGTAGTTCACTGGCTGTGGGAACAATAATGTTTATTTACTTTGCTCGTTTGGTACCACGCTTGACAGTTCAATTGGTACTTCTGGCTTCACTCTTGGCGGGACTCTTATTTTAACATTGACTCTGGACTGAATCTGGAATTAATTGAAAAGGGATTAAAACGGCAAAACAAAAGACAAAACTATTGTAGTTTACACGCTGTGTCACTGGCACACTGTGGTACACTTTAGATATTAAATTTTGAATTTTTAGAAGTAATGAAATTACAGCGATTGCCGGACTGAGCAACATCGCTACATCAGACGAATGGAGCTGACCGGGAAGCAAGACCCTTCATACTTTTGGTCGTTTATACGTAGCCGTAAGCAATTCAATCGTATTCCTGCCGAGATGACTTTTAAGAATTCCTCTGCTGATTCACCGCATGAGTTAGCTAATCTTTTTGCACAGTACAACATCGCTGACATTCTCTCCTGACAGTGTAAGGACCTGCCCCGCATACAATCTGAACTGTCCACCTCTACACAGAAAAAAAAGTTGTTGACTATTACATCCAAACTGCTGCAACCAGGTCAATCCATCGGTTGTGTAATATAACGTTGTACGATGTACATCGATTTTGCGAACAAAATTACATCCATTGATGTAATATTGTATCTGCTTTTTGCTATTACATAATTATTTCATACGTCAGCTTGAATAACATTGATCGATACTAGGGGCATCCCACTCTAAACTTTATATTTCTCGCGTTATACTCAGAAAGTTTTTACAAATACCTAAGATACCTGGAAATACTTAAAAATACTTAACCTATATTTTGCATTAGATTGTTACCACCGTTGCTAAACACATTTTAGTTGTTTATTTATCGGATGTCGTCAAGGATTTTGTGTGAATATTTGAAAACTGCAGTATTAATATTTTAAGCTTTAACAGCTATTTTAAATGTTTCTTTTGTTTTGTAGGCATCAAGATATGGTCTTGGAAAAAGAGAAGATCATTGCAAAAATGATTCACCTATAAATTAATGTCGTCAACGGTGGAAAAAACAGCCGCTGATTATTTCTCCAATGTAGAAACCGATTCCATCATTTTCGCATTATACTGCACTATTAATTATGTCACACGTTGATGCGCATTTAGGATGATTCGTTCGACATGTTACAGAAAGAAGTCAGATTGACAATCATGGAACCTTTCCCTTCGTTGTTTGTTTGGTTTTATCGATCGTTGCGTTATAAGTACTTTTCGACCGTTATGATTAGGCCATGTAACACTAACTTAAGACTCTTAGGGCTATCGAATCTGAACAAGAAATTGTGAAGGTTTTCCAAACCAATCGCATTGTACTTGTTGCCGAGCTTGTGGCATCTGTTTCATCTTGTAGCTTCCCACCGAACGTGTTTATTCTGCCGTAAAGAGCCTGTTTTGAAAATTTCAAAAATAATTTGAAATTGTATATAATTTGAATTGAATTGAACACGATGGTAGGTATTAGCCGCTTGTGCATGGTAAAAATATAAATTAAGATAAATCTGTAAAACCCTGCAACATTTTGGCGAAATGCGCAGAATTATGGCGCACATAGTAAACATGTTGTAAATATGAACTACATTTTCTCGGATTTGGAACCGTCAATTCTCATCTGTTAAACCATTATTAGAGCTGGACATGATTGATAAGCCATATCTGCTATGTGTTGAAGTAGAATTCATTTTTTCATTGATTCTATTAACTAACAGCAACGATTGTAAAACTTAAATTTAATCAATTTATTTCAACACATGGCATGTGAATAAATAAGTATCGATTATTCAAACTTTTGAATAAAAACAACAAACCAATCAACTTCTTTAACATGTCACGTTCAGGAAAGATCGAACAGTATAAGTTATAAATTGGTGGCGCAAGTGGGTAATTGTTGTCTACCCACTAAAATTTATTAAACTGGATTCATTTTTTTTTAATATCCTTTGTTCCGTAATGGGTTGGGCATTTACCCACTTTTCCCACCACTTTTCATTTACCCCAATGTACCTTTCATTTTTAACTACCGCTTCGATTCAACCGGGATAATCTATTTGCCACTACGGATCAGAATGATAGCGATGCTAGTGTTTTTGAAATCCTCAATCACCAGCAACTTGTCGTTGGTGGTTCCAATTACTTAAACTGGGAAAGTTATGTTCAAATGAAAACATCGACTGCAAAATGTCAATTAAACTACTTCACCAGTCTAAAGTAACACTGTTTTCTAACCCGAAAAGCGTAATGCAATCAGCACAATTTCCTACTGTAAAAGGTTCGTTTCATCGTCGTAGTTCGACAGGAAATGCGCAGCGTAACCCTGATATAGTTGACTTGTATAGGTATAGCCAAGAATTTTTTTCTTCTCCATACCTTATTCCTTGTTCCTTATTTTCTTAAGAATATGGTACAGCTCTGTAAAGGAGTCCAAATTCATGATAGCGCACAGGAAAGTCTGCTCGAAACTAGAGAGGTTCTAGAACCTCTCTACTCTAAAGCATCAGTAATTTGAATAACACGATTACACTATTAGATAAGCGTAATTGAAATACATATATCAATTATCATGATTTTATTGCAATTAAAATAGATTAAAACAGGAATTAATTTCATTTCATAAGTGACGAAAACTATAAAATTGACGGGGCTTACAACAACAACCAACGACACTAGCAACCGGTAACTACGATGGAAATTATGCAAGTTTAAAATACTTAAAAATACTTAAGAATACCTATGAGAGATTTAAACGTATTTAATGTATACTAGTACTAAAGTTTAGAGTGGGATACCCCTAGGATCGATATTACATTTTTTGACGTAGGACTACGTCTTTCAGGAATATGGGGGTACAATTTATGAAAAGGGAAAAATGAAATTATGAAAGATTTTGAACGTTAATAACTTAGCTGCCCCTGGACCAATCCCAACAAACAATTGAGAGCTCTTATAAAACACCTGAGTTGATCAAACATTGAATAATAGCTTCCAGAGTTGTACAAGAATGTAGTTGTATTGCCATGTGGTTAAAAGGTTCAAAAGCTGCTTGGAGCACTCTTAAATGATTGTTTACGTTCGACCAACCACAATTTTGTTGCTAAAAATAGTACAAGTGATAGGCACGTTTATATGACCATAAGGTAATTATTATTCGACTGCAAGAGAAGTCACTCAAGATGAGCTTCATATACTTCTCTCATATCATCAAAATATGTATTCAAGAATAGAGCAGATGGAAACAGAAGCGGCTGGCAATCCGGGATCATGAGTTCGAATCTTGCTTCGAGAAACCCTCGGTGTGGAGTAGAGGTAAATTATATATAGGTGTTATTAATAAATGCAAACATTAATTTAAGACATATACCATATAATCAACGATAACATTTCTAGATAAATTCTCTCAATTAATGATTAGAGAGATTAATTGAAAGAATATCAATCAAAGATTAAACAGATGCTTGTTACTACTTCCTCCATGATCACAGAATGTGAATTATGCGAGGGGGACGAAACTCCCAGATTTATTCAAGTTTTATGAAAATATAATCTTTATTTTGGTGAATCGATTCAATTCTGAATAAATCCACTTTATCCGATATTATCTCCAAAATTAATAATATCGTTTTTTATCGATCACATCTCTATATTATCGGGTCACATCTCTAACTATCTCATGACAGATTATGGTATTTGAGGACGCCGCGAAGGAGCGTCTCCGCGCGGTACAATGCGCCGAGATGCTCTTTCATTCTCCTACGAATTGGTTGCCTGTACATTACTGATTACCAATTCATGATATATTCCACATAAAGTTGATCGATGTTACAAAACCATTCATGGACCTTACTGGTTACCATAACCATTACCATTAATGTTCTCAAACCATAAGTTAAAAGGTTTCAGTATAGTTTTCTTTCCGAAAATGTATGGAGAAAACAAGAATTTTGAATGGTAATGGTTCTTAACAACCCATTATTTGTAAGGTCCACTTCCAAAAAACTACAATACTTAAGGTTAAAACTTTATCATTAAACGTTCATGTAAAGTTCCATAACCATTTCAGTTGAAGTTTAGCAGGGATTATAAACAATTTATAACCATTATCGGTAAGGTCAATTTATGGTTCGCGCTTATGCGGGAAGTTAACATTAAAAAATGGATGCAAGACAATGGAAAACTAAAAGATGAGGACGATGATAATGTCACAGTTAGGAGGTGTTACAAGTTGGAACTTCCAACTCGAAGGCGGAAGTGGTTGCGTAGGCAAACAAATTTCAGCTGAAGGCTGGATTTCAGAAATATTCGGTGAGGAATGGAGGTCTAGATACTATGAAAGAAATTCGTTTGTTGGGAGCTTCTTACGAAGAGCTTTGGAGTGTGCTTCCCTAATAAAAAGTACCAAAAACGAATGATAACCCACATGATTGAACGATTCCACAGATTGTTTGGATTATATCCAGAACATGTCGTTAAGCAAAACAACCATAACTATTTTATTAGAGTTCTGCTGTAGGTGGTTGGGGGAATGTAGAATTTGGGTGGGTTAATGTTATTTCCGCACAACTTTTTGAAAATATCAAACAGCAGCCTCTGCTTGCTAGCTATGAGTGGTCCGACGTGCGATAAAAAATAAAGTGACAGACAGTCAAACCGTGATACACACTAAAAATTAAATGAGATAACGGTTGGATAATTCTGACTCATTCAAGATTATCGATGAATAGCGGATGAAATCGGGTGATATCGGCAAGCGCATGTTATTATTCTTTACGAATCGAAAAAATCCACAAAAATCCAATTTACGAAGCAAATTTTATTGAAATCCGTTAAATTAACTGTCGAATGGATTACTTTCGTCCCCCTCGGAATTATGGCATAATTACATATTTTTTCAATGTGCACAAATAAATCAAATTAATAAAAACTGTACAAGCAATTATTTTGGCGTACCACAATAATTGTTAAACTAATTTTAATCTGTGAATATTGTGAGTACTTACACAACGGTTATTATGGAGTCATTAAAAAGTGCTATAAACGCTTTTCACCGCTTGCTGTATAGTGATTATTTAGAGGAGTCATAAAAGAGTGTAACAAACGCCTCTCAGGTTCAATCTCTACTAAATTTCAAAGCAGCTGTCAGGAAGTGTCTAAACGTTGTATAAGAGCTTTCACCAAAACAATAAAGCTTGACTTTAAATATGTATCTATAAACGTTGTATAAAAGTTGCTTCTACTCCTATACCGCGTATACATATAATCCTGTTGTTGAACAGGTTCTCCAAACCAGTGTAAACAAGGGTTTTATAAAAGTTGTGGTGAACACATTGTGCAATTATTATTCAACATGCAGCTGAACAAAATCAAAACGAAAGCGTTTCTTCAACTGGAAATTGTTACTTGGGTTGTTAGATGATATCTCAGCAAAATGTTATTTGTTAGCTGAGTCTCGACAATTGTTTTACTGAATCTCAGCAAAATAGATTGCAGAACTGCTCGGCTGTTGGAATCTCGGCGGAATATATTGTCGTAACAGTTCAGTAAATTGAAAGTTTGCCGATGTTTCGTTGAACATATAATAGTTTACCGAAATTTGGATCTGATTTTAGCAAAACTTCGGTAAACACAATCATTTACCAAGCATCGTCAATAGGAATCACTGATCTAATCATACTTTCTATCTACTCATCGTGCGCACAGCATATCGTAACACTCTAAAGAAATTATTGACACAAGGAATAGTGTGCTGGGCGGGCGACCCATCCCTTGGTTCTCCAGATGCACAAGCGTGTGCGTGAGATCGCAGGATTCCGTGTTAATAAGTTGTGATATTGCGTTACTTTTTTGGTTGTCTTTCTTTATTCTCCAAGCACAATCTCACAAATACTTAAGTCCAACGTTTTATATATGAACGTTGGACTTGAGTATTCGTGAAATTGTGCTTGGAGATCCCTCAAAAATTATACACATTTTTATTGGTGAATTTCCTTGTAAAATTCCATACACACTTAATCTAGCTCAGTAAAATCTCCAACAACCGATTGCCTCGTCATTTACTTTTGCTGATATGTCTGCAAATTATCTGTTCGTGTGCACACTTAAATTTTTTCGCCGGGATTCCAACAGCCGAGTAATTCTGCAATTTATTTTGCTGAGATTCAGTCAAAAAATTGCCGAGACTATGCTAACAAATAAAATTTTGCTGAGATATAATAATATGGCTGTTGGAGATTTTACCGATCTAGATTAAGTGTGTATGATTTTCATGTGTCCACACATAAACAGAATCCACTCAGAAGTGCACATGAAATTTATGAGCCAAATGAATAGTATGTGTGGTTACACATGAATTTTATGTGTACACATAAGAACTATGTGTCCGACACATATATTGCTGATTGCATCTGAATTAAACTGGACTGCCCCAAAAATGCAAGAAGTGTGATAAAAGTGCACCTTCCCGTCAAATCGTGTTGGTGTCTTCGGAGCACTTATTGCTTGCATCATAAGAAATAAGTGCACCGAAGACACCAAGACGATTAGACGGAAGTTCGCACTTTTAATAAGTGAAAACGCGCCTATTAGTCCAGTTTGGTGTGAAATACGCAATATATCATTGCAAAAATTCATGTGTGGGACACATAAAAATAATCATTGAAATTTTCTTAGTGTATAAATATCAATTTTATTTTTTTAACCGTGTACGAAAGTGTACCCACAGCTGAACAAGTTTTCGTCACAAAGGGAAAAAAAATCAAATACGCCATCTTGCAAAATCGAATCCAGTCCAATTTGGTGAACGCTCCGCAAATTTCCTGAAATTTTGATATTTAGCTGCCACAAAAACATTCGGGAACTATGTGAGTTTCAAGTTAACGTGATCGGAAATGAATTGTGCTAATTTGTGTGTACCGGAATTTGTAGGAATCGCCGTGGAGGACGAGATGATTACAACGACCGAGGGGGCCGCGGTGGCGGAGGCTCATCGAATCTGATGCGTCGCAACGATCGCTTTGGTGGACGAGTGGAGAAACGCTTCGACAAACAGGAGCGCAATGGGGAGAATTTGCGAGAAATCCGTTGGGATCAGGTGAAGTTGGAACCATTTAAAAAGAACTTTTTCAATCCCGCTAGTAGCGTTCTGGAACGGTCGAGGACGGAGGTTTGCCAGTATCTGGATAAAAACGAGATCACGATGATCGGTAAGAACGTCCCAGCTCCGGTGCTGAAGTTTGAGGAAAGTGGCTTTCCGAGCTGCTTCTTAGACGAGATGTCGCGCCAAGGATTCCAGGAACCGACAAACATCCAAGCTGTAGGCTGGTCAATTGCGACGAGCGGAAGAGACATGGTCGGTATCGCTAAAACCGGCAGTGGAAAAACTCTGGCGTATATTCTGCCGGCTTTGATTCATATTAGCAACCAACCGAGGCTGCTACGTGGTGATGGTCCAATTGCTTTGGTACTGGCACCAACTCGAGAATTGGCCCAGCAGATTCAACAAGTTTGCAATGAATTCGGCCGTCGTATGAGTATTATGAACACTTGCATTTTTGGCGGTGCTTCCAAGCATCCTCAAGCTGATGATTTAAGACGTGGTGTGGAGATTGTAATTGCCACCCCAGGACGGTTGATTGATTTTCTTGAAAGTGGAACGACAAATCTACGCCGTACCACTTACTTGGTACTTGACGAGGCGGATCGTATGCTTGATATGGGTTTCGAGCCACAAATCAGGAAAATTATTTCCCAAGTACGACCAGACAGGCAGGTTCTCATGTGGTCGGCAACCTGGCCGAAGGAAATCCGCAAGCTGGCCGAGGAGTTCCTCCTGGACTACATCCAAATCAACATCGGTTCGCTCAACTTGGCAGCAAATCATCAAATCATGCAGATCATCGAATGTTGCGAAGAGTATGAGAAGGAGAACCGTCTGTTCAAATTACTTACTGAATTGTCGCAACAAGGCGATAATAAATCGATAGTTTTCGTCGAAACCAAACGTAAGGTTGATCAGATTGCGGGCATTATCAAGCGCAACGGTTGGAGGGCTGACGGCATTCACGGTGACAAAACACAAAAGGATCGCGATTATGTCTTGAGTACGTTCCGGCGGTCGCGTAGCGGAATTTTGGTCGCTACCGATGTGGCTTCGCGCGGCTTAGGTGAGAACTGACAGATCTGTTTGTATCGTTCGAGATGAACCCTATAGGAGGGTGCGTTGGCGAAATTCAATCTATGGTTGGATGTCGGAAGATGGAAAGGACAACCCGGATTCAGAGCGGGTGATCCCTGCTGGATCAAGCGTCGTTTCTTCCTGTGCCTATTCGGTAGTGAGTGAGGAGCGTGTGGTGGGTATTAATAGGACAGCTTTAAAAGTTTCGCATGTTGAAGAATGTTCTCATTTTTCTTTATGTACGGAAATAGTAATTGTCCTCAATGGTTGCTACTTGAAAAGGTTACAATCGAACTGATTGATGGAACTTCGGAATGTGTTTCCTGATCAAAATTATAATGTACTTGTGGTAAAATGTTGGGATCATTTAGAGGTCACCAATATTTTACCATGCCATAAGCTCTCAATTGGCATTTTCATCATAAGTCAGTGAGTCTGTCCTATTCATGTTATATCAATTGCATTGCGGACTCGTTGAATTGAAAGGCCTCTACGATTTAATACGCTCCTCGACATCTGATACCCGGACCAATGCAGAGGCACTACCAACGTGAACATATATTGAATTTCACCTCAATTTGGCTGCAAGCACACTGAAAATTGGTTGAACTTAACACGCCGTGGTCAGTCATCGCATCATGCGGAGACGCGCATCAAGAGCAACACAGTCAAGAACCAGAAATGGCCGACCCGTATCGACGAACTCGATACTACTCCACGACATGTCCGTGCTACTGTTTTTTATTCTAGGTTTGCCGCATTTTGTTCCAGTATTCAAATCGTCCACTTCTCCAGTCCGTTGTCCAGAAAGCTGGTAGCCAACATACACAAATGAATGATACGGACAATCTTCGTCAATTATCAGAAATTCAGCGGATCGCTTGTCTATTCTGTCAGGTTCTTCTAACTGACGCACGCTTCGTTTTTGCAGGATTGAACGCAGTTTGCACTCCCAATGGATTTTTTTTTTCGCTTCGGTTGCGAGAATGTCCTTTCCGTGCATTGAAGACCTTTTGAAGGTTCTAGTTGGTAAGCTGTGCAAATACCAACGAACCGGGGGCTGACATAATTTCGTATCAACCGAACGGAAGTGGGCATCTGCTGATGAATACTGGACAATATACTGCGCAACCTTGTCTACACATCTTCCAGCGTCACTTGGTACGCGAGTGTTGTTCCTTCTAATGCGCAGTTGGCTCAGTCACACACACACACATCCTCACTGATAACGCAACGGATATCGGGCCCGTATTGTTCGTGATTGGCCCGAAGATTGCGTTCCATAGGCATCGTGAACAGTCTGGTAGTTCGTTCACGATCCCGGTAACGTGCTCTAAGAAAGGCTATGCATGTCAGTACACAGTTCAAAGCGTAGGTTTCTACCGAAAACAACATGTGGCACAGGAGTTCGCAACGTGCACATTACAACACAAAGGTAAGTTTCAAATCGTTCTACGCTATTTTAGGTTGCTTGTGAAATCAGAAGGATAACTGACATGTCCCTTTTTTAGAAGCACTTTTTTTTTTAGCCATCATCATTCGCTCTGATGCTATCAAATAATATGACACTGACTGGCTTGAAGCATCACTGCTTGGAACAGTTACTAATGTGTGCCTTGAATATGACTGCGTATTAATTTTAACCCAACGGGAACAGTCTCCACTCGCCACGAAAGTGACGTTGCATTGAAAAATTGGTAGAACAAAGAGGAGGAGGGATTGTTGTGGTTGCTGGATATGAAGATTTATTCGCTGTGGAGACGACGAGGGGACGGGGGTTATATTTTTGAAAATGATCATATATGAACATAATTCCCGGAGATGTTATCCTCCTTCTGCAGTATAATTGATTCTTCTTCAGATCGCGTTCTGTTTTTCTCGGATGATGCCATCAAATTTTCATCAGGCCTATTCCGCGTGGCGTGTGAGGTGAGGTGAACCACCATTTGATTTGCACGGAATCTCACATCACACAACTATTGTCATTTATTATTTTTTACTATTATTGATTTTTCATTGAGTACGATCTGTAGATAGAAACATTTTTAACTGCATAAGGTGATCCAAGAGACGTTCCTCAGTGGAACTGACAGCTAGAAATCTAGAGTTTGTGATTGATCTGGTGTTTATGGTGCTGAATGTAAACATTAACAAAGCAAAAATTCATATGAGAATAAACTGCCAGTTCTATTGTGATCTGTCAAAAGTTCTTGGTAAACAAAAAGTCAGCTGATCGCAACCAAGGTTGCAAAGACTCATTTCAGCTAAAACAATGTTTTTCTAAATTATGAAATAATTAGATGCCATGATCAAATTTTGAATTGATAGGATACAAGAAGAGGTTGCAAAGAATGTGTTTGACATATTAAACTTGTTTATTTCACTTCATAAGAGTCACAATCAGCGATTTTTCACACACTCACTCACTCACTCACTCACTCACTCAGCGATCAGCAAATCGCTGATTGTGACTCATAGAAAGCAAAATTTACAGGTTTTATGTTTCCAACGCATACTTTGTAACCTCTTCTTGTAAGTTACAAGTAAAACATGCCATCATACCATCTTTTGGTTTTATTATTCCGAAAAACATTAGTTTAGCTGAAATGAGTCTTTGCAACCTTGATCGCAACTGTCCTTATTATCCGTTGCTAAATCTTATGATAATTCTCCAAAATCTCAATCATTCATAATGTATAGATTTTTGAAAATAATGAGCGAGGTGTGTTTTTAAAATCCATAGAGTTCCTTTTAAATTTTTTAAAAGTTCTGAGAAATCTGGAAAATCCGTAGAATTTTTAGCTCAGTCCGTAGATCTGTAGATAGCTTAAAAATCCTTAGACTTGGCATCACTGGCCTCAGAGTCATTTCAGCTTACCTACCGCGCAGAATAGTCAACCTAAAGGCGTGTGAATAATCTTAATACAGACCTACTGAACCTATTTTTGGTTTTCATTAAATACAGACTTTTTTTTTCAATTTTATTAAAAGTGATATTAGTTTGATTCGTTAACTCAATTGGGAATAACATTGAATAAATTACATTTAATCACACTACCTTATCGACGACAATACAGATGTAAGTATTTCACCTACACATACTTCATGTATTAAATACTCGACTGGACTCGATATTCAGCCATTTGCAATTTGACTTGTTCAACTTACAATCATGGATTTTCAAATAAATAACTTAGGTTTTGGTCATTCTGAGCTCATTTCGTTGAGATGTGGGAGTTACTATGGAAAAATTAATCTTTTTGTTCAACTCGTACCAGCCTTTTGGCATGCTGCACTTGTTTATAGAAAGCTAAAAGTAAGTTTATTGTGTAACGCGATGAACAAAAATTCAGTTAATTTAAATATAAATAGTAATTCACAGCTAAATTCATTTTTTGAAAAGTCATCCTGTACAATTTTTCGAATTTGCTAAAATTAAGAAAATAAAGCTTATCAACTTTGTCACCCAAAATTTCCTATCCAAAGTAGATTTACTCCATAATTAAGAGCACTGTTAATTTAATAGTCATATATTGGTGAGGAGTGAGATGAAGAGAAGCGAGTCTGACTTGGACATTTCATAAAGTTGCACCACCAAATTAACTGATGATGCAGTAAACCTATTTTTTCTGAACAGTTTCCTTCGTGATCTAGATGATGTTTTGGCGAATTACCGAAGCTTCGATAGTTTTGGAAATTCCCGGGGTTTCAAGAAAAAGTTTCTAAAGCTCATGAAGTTAAATAATTTTAATTGCTGTGAAAGTTTTGAATGTTATCAAAAAGAGTCGCTAGCAGTATTGAAATCCCCGAAGTTCATTTAGTTCTGTAAATGAACTTGCGTAAGTTCATTTAGCTCTGTAAATTCTTGTGAGAGATCTAATGGGATCTAAAAGTGGCTTCATATTTTTTAACGTTCTTAGAGCACCGTAAATTTTTGCTGTTCTTATGTGTTTTAAGGATTGTTAGACCTCCAGAAGCTTCTAGAGTTCTGAGAATTTTTGCAGTTCTTAATGTTCCAGAAGCTCTACAGTTCTTGTTGTCATGGAGCCTCTGAATGTTTTAAAATTAGTGTTGACGAAGTAATTTTCGGAGATTCTGTGCAGCAAAACTCGTTTTTTATGTGAGTTAGCTCGAAGCTGTAAATGTATAATTTATTAGATTTTGCTTTTGTTTGCAATTTACCTTCATACAATTTGTCTCCAATTAGTGTTTGTATCGGCAACAGAATAAACTAAATTTTATATTGTGTAGCAAGTTAATCTATAAGTACAATACAATTAGTTATTTCATCAGTTTTAATTAGGATAATAAATTCACCGGAAAAACGTTGTATAACTCACTACTGCGTATAATGACAACAATATAATTCACTTATTTTCAACGTTAACAAACTGACAATAGAACCTACTTTGACGTAAGGGCAGTTGGCTCATTTGGATGAACCGAGGGGTATAGTGGGCAACGTGTTGCCGGAACATCCTCCCCCGTATGACGACTGAAGTTTCACTTCCGCGTCATCAGTTGTTTCTATGTCTAACAGAGCAAGTTTTACCATAGGACGTTGCATAACTCCTCCAGCAGTCTGTACATCCGCTCTACGTGCTACACCATCCTTTCCAGCATAGGTCCGCATGATACGTCCCCTTAGCCATTTGTTCCTGATCTTCTCGTCTGCAGCCACTTTAATCTCTCGAACATCATCGAACCATTTTGTTCTTCTTGTAATTGTTGGCAAGTATTCCAACAGCCAGCGCTGCCAGAAGTGATCCAGCACATGTTGAAGCATATTCCAACTTCCTCTCAACGCCGCTCCTCCACAAACCGGATCCTTGATAAGTTGCTTCACTCCCTTGGAATTCATCATCAGAAAATGGTTTGGTGTCAAGGCTTCCTCTGCTTCGGTGTTGAGTGAAACGAAGGTTAACGGTCGAGAATTCACCATATGTTCAGCCTCCGCTAACAGAGTCACGAGAGACTCTTCGTCGAGTT